TTACCCCAAGATTCGTATATAGACATGGGTCAAAATTTACAGCCCCCATATCTCGGCCAAATCTTATCCGATGTTCACGAAGTTTGGCTTTTTCTTCATAGTTTTCCCTCTAGTTTAATCTGGCATTCAAATATGAACATCGATTTTTTAGTCGAAATTCATGTCCAAATCTTACCCCAAGATTCGTACCTAGACGTGGGTCAAAAATTACCACCTCCATAACTCGGTCAAACCCCATCCGATTTTCATGAAGTTTGGCGTTTTCTTCATGGTTTTCCATCTAGATTAATCTGGCATTCAAATATGAACATTGATTTTTAGTCGAAATTCATGTCCAAATCTTACCCCAAGATTCGTATCTAGACGTGGGTCAAAAATTACCACCCCCATAACTTGGTCAAATCTTATCCGATTTTCACGAAGTTTGGCTTTTTCTTCATGGTTTTCCCTCTTGATCAATCTGGCATTCAAATATGAACATCGATTTTTTAGTCGAAATTCATGTCCAAATCTTACCCCAAGATTCGTATATAGACATGGGTCAAAATTTACAGCCCCCATATCTCGGCCAAATCTTATCCGATGTTTACGAAGTTTGGCTTTTTCTTCATGGTTTTCCCTCTAGTTTAATCTGGCATTCAAATATGAACATCGATTTTTTAGTCGAAATTCATGTCCAAATCTTACCCCAAGATTCGTATATAGACATGGGTCAAAATTTACAGCCCCCATATCTCGGCCAAATCTTATCCGATGTTCACGAAGTTTGGCTTTTTCTTCATGGTTTTCCCTCTAGTTTAATCTGGCATTCAAATATGAACATCGATTTTTTAGTCGAAATTCATGTCCAAATCTTACCCCAAGATTCGTACCTAGACGTGGGTCAAAAATTACCACCCCCATAACTTGGTCAAATCTTATCCGATTTTCACGAAGTTTGGCTTTTTCTTCATGGTTTTCCCTCTTGATCAATCTGGCATTCAAATATGAACATCGATTTTTTAGTCGAAATTCATGTCCAAATCTTACCCCAAGACCCCAAAATCTTACCTCTCCGACCCCATAAAGTATATATATTCTTGATCATATTTTTGGGCAATATTGGTAAATAATAAGAGCCAGAGTCACCAAACTTGACATATAGCTTCTAAAATAGAATATATATATATGCATTTGATGTCGGAAGAAGAGGGTTCAGGGTATCCCCTAGTCGGGTGCTCCCGACTAGAACCTCTTACTTGTTCATGATAAAATATGTGACCATTTTGAAAAATGACCCATTTTGAGTAGGATTTATAAACATTTTGTGCAAAAAGAGAAAAAGTGAAGTATTCGCCGTACTTTTAGCATATTTTTATGCATTTTGTTCGACCCAAAACCCAATCATAAAAACTCTCGTCACATCATAACTAAAAATTGCCCGGGGCAACGCATTTAATTTGAGTTTCATCTAGTCATAGCCATAAACGTGGCGATGTGATAGCATTAGAAATAGGGATTTAATACAGATGCAAACAATATGTGTATATATATATATGTGTGTGTGTGTGTGTGTGTGCCCAATAAGGTCGCCTGCGGAAATTTGTCAACTATGCGGCTGGAATAATGTGCGCAACTTTAAAACAAGCGAATTGTGTGAATAAATGGCATAGATAACTTTATGGCCAACAGTGCACTTTGTCTAACCCATCAGCCGCACACACACACACACACACACACACTCACACAAAGGATAGGTCGTTGCAGGGGGCAAATGTAGTTAGCCTTCGGCTTTGGCATGCATTTAACATTGGATGAGGGGGGGCTCAGTTGTGCGGCGCCTGGGTGATACAGGCCAAACTCGTGATGCCATTGCAGCTCGCTTTTTTGTCATATGCACATGTGTGTGAGTGTGTGTGTGTGTGCGTGGGTGTGTGTGGGTGCTGCTGACGGCGGCATTCGCAGCTACGTGACATGCATAGCTCATCGCTCCTGGCCGGAGCATTGGCCAGAAAATATTGCAGTTGTGATATGTTTAAGCTGCAGGGCGCGACCGAGCGCAGAGGGTGAGGAGGGGGGAGGGGGAGGGGGGAATGGCGGGCAGCAAATTCCTGCTGCTCCTTGGCCCAGTCGCTAGCTGCACAAGTTTCTGAGGTGCTAATGAAAATTGCGCAACTTTTGCGCAAATCACGCGACGCAACTTCAGCTGCAGTCGCGCAAATGGAAATGCACTGGCTAATTGCTTGCTGTGGGCGTGGCACACCGCCCCACTCTAGTGAATTCTAACAAACGGCAAGCTAATTAGGCAGACAACCTTAAAATTTAGCTGCGCTTTAAGCTAATTAAAGCGTGCGGCTCGTTGTTGTAGCTGGCAAATGTGTTTTTTATGTTGTGCACAGGCTCTTGGGTATTAATTAGAGATGGCTTACTCCATATATCACAGCACGAATCACAAGGATAAAACCCCGTCGAAGGCTGCAAGCTGTAATTTTATTTTGGAGAACAGATTATTTTAAAAAAAATATGTTAAGAAATAAAGGCAAGCCGAAAGAACAAACTATTGTCTAAGATAAAGATATATTTATGTAAAATAAAGATATATGCTGAACAAAAACAAAAAATCAGACACTAGAGCGAATGAACAAGAGTTAAAATAAACTAAGCCTTAGTATCCTTTAAATTATAAAGACAGATAGGAAGTCCTTTGTGATATAAGACCCAGGACCCTTAAGGATTTAGACATGATATAGCTGTAAAATCATCTTCACATACATTTTGCTTAACACGAAGACATCTTGTTGACTCTCGCGTGTTCGTGTCACGTAGGAAAACACGACACACTGCCCAGCTCTAGTATTAATTTTTTGGTAACAAGCAAAACCAATTTGCAGCAGCAGCAGCAGCAGCAATAGCTGTGGCAGCAGTAACAGTAGCTCCGGCAGTTAATTTTAATTACGCACATGGCAGTTAATGTTGCGACACGGCGTCTCAATTTAGACACCTTTTTGCGAGGCACACACATTCACGCACACCCCACCCCCATCCTGGCCAGCTCAAACACACATCTGGCAAAAACAATACACACACACACACTTGTGCACAAATTTGCCATTAAATGCGCAAAAGGGCGGCAATGGGCGTGCCGGAGCCAAAATGAATAAACGACAATGGCTTTTGTGGCCATGTGTGTGCGAGTGTGCGTGTGTGTGTGTGTGTGTGTGTGACCATATAAAGCGGCTGGCAGCGTCAATCGTTTCATTTAAAGCGCTGCGCTTCAGGCAGCCAAAGGTAAAAGAACAAAACAAATTAATTTTGCTCAGGTGTGTGGGGCCAAGTACCAGCTACAACTGTGTGGGTGTGCGCGTGTGTTTATGACTATGTAGCAAAAGCCTGAAGCACAACTGTTACGCACTCAACACACACACACACACACACACACACACACACACACACTTGAGAAAAGTGCACAGATGCGTGTAAGCAAATGTTTTATTGTAGCCCTCTGGGGCTTATATCTGTTTTGTCATAAAGACTGCAAATGCATATATATTATATGGTATACATTTCTATAAGCATTTATTCCGGAAATGAATGTCTTTCCGTATACATCTTCAATTTTATCTATATGACTCCATAATCATTAAATAAAATAAACTTGAATAGAAATGTTCATAAAGATGAAAACCTTTCAGTGCAATCTTTTGGAAAAGGCTAAGCCAAGTTTCGATTACATGTGCCTCGTAAAATATTAAATTGTATTAAATTTGAGGCGTTTGTTTGGATCAAATATAATAAAATAAAGTTAAGTTATCCTTGAAGTTACGTTAACAGAGTCTACAATGTGAAGGGTTCGGGTTTTGCGTTAACAGAGGGTTGCATTGAGTGAGGGCGCACTGTATTCATAATAGTACAATTAATTCAAATAATAATAAAAGTAATTAAATTAATTATAACAATTAATTAAATTAATCAAAACAAAAGAGACTCACCCGTGTCACACGAGACTATATAATTCAATACGCTTTCCAATCGATATTGCAGTGTATCTACGATTCGTGTTCCTTCGCTTTCAGCAGCTCTCCGGCATTTCTCCCCTGCATTAGTAACGCGTTTAGGCCGCAAATGCTGTTGGCTTTGGCAAATGAAATATGTTTTTCCTTGGCACACATTCGGCGCGTTACCAAAATTGCTTTTGTTCGCAATTCCAGCCGCGACAGAATTTGCTGGCAGATATGAAAGCAAACGTGGCCTGGTTAGCAGCGAGTGTGTACCTTGATAGCTAGAGAGGGGGCAGGTGGCAGGTGACAGGTTAGAAACAATTATAAGCGCATTGGCAGTTCGAGATGAAATTTACACACACATAAGTACACATATAATTTATGTTGCTTTTATTTAAAAGTTAGTTGCCTCACTTTGCATTTGCTTACAGACTCGTACAATACACATATCCGTATATTATATAGTATAGTCAACTATATAAGAATTATTACTTATGGCTTGCCTAACTCGTTTCCTTATAGAGGGATATGACTTTCGTTTCCATGCAGCAAGTGCTTGCGCCTAACTAACTAACCAATCAATCAATCAATCAACCAATTAATCAATCAATCAACTTTGATATATCATTGAGCTTTACATCGGTTTATACATACATATCTGCTCTATAGGCATATAGTAAATGTGTTTTTAAGAAGTTGAACTTTGTATTCGGTTGTTTAATTTTGAATACCTGTAATTAACTGTGATTAATAGATAATACTTCTGTTTATATATATATAAAGTTTAAGCAATAAATTGGAATATTATTTATAAAGATTTTTTAGCAAATGAAGAAAAAAATGTATAAGATATTGTGTTCTTTTTTTTGTCATTTAACATTTAACGTTCATATTTATGTTACATATTTCATGTCATAGAGTTTCTCAGGTTTTTCATGTTTTTCATAATATCATTCACTTTAGCACTTAAGAACATTTCTCTCTCTCTCTCTCTCTCTCTCTCTCTCTCTCTCTCTCTCTCTCTCTCTCTCTCTCTCTCTCTCTCTCTCTCTCTCTCTCTCTCTCTCTGTCTCTCTTTATCTCTGTCTCTAATGGAATATTTGAGAATTTGTTCAAGTGGGCCTAGAAGAGCTATAGATGCATTTCAAAGAAACGTTCAAGTATTTGTTGTTATAAGTTAAATATAAAGATAGCGAGTGATTTAAAGTCAAGTTCAATTAGATCCAATAAAATGATTTCGTAATTATGTTAATTAATTTTGATACCTCGCACTAAGTTTAATCTAAATATCACTCGGGTTTATTTATGTTTTTTTTTTTGTTCATTTATTTTCGGTTTGAATTTGGAATTTTGGTTCGCTAATATACTAAATTCTTGGGCCGGGCAGCTTGGGCTTGGGCCTAGAACTTCATTTCCCCTGGGGATCCAGCTGGAGTTCAGTGGAGCTACACTTCCTCGTAGCTGCGGCATTTGGGCAACGGGCCTGACCACCTGCCATCTGGCTGACATTTTGGCCGCTCGGGCGGACCCGTGCTGTGATCCTCGTTCGTCTGGATCTGTATGAAGCCCGGCCGGCACTGGACGCTCAGATAGTCGCCCGCATCATAGTTGAATTTGAGCGGGGCGATCAAACCGTTGGGCGGGTCGCCTGGATAGGGGCACTGCGATTTGCCTGATTGCGAGATTGGAGCATTGGATGCATGGATCATGGTCATTTGGGCATGCAAGGTGGTCAGGTCGTGGATGTAGATGAGCGTACATGGAATGAATCGTGATGGTATCGGTATCGTGATCGGTATCGGTAACGGTATCATGATCGGTATCGGTATCGGTTTCGGTTTCGTGATCGGTATCGATTGTACGATATACAGCGGAAATACAACACAAGTAACATTAATTCATTTGATTTGTGAGTGGGCCCACTTTGGAAGATTACGCAAGGATTCGCAGCGTATGTGCATTTAATGTGCATTTATCAGTTGTCTACTTACAAAATGGTGGCGAGTGCGACCAGAACCCGTTCTCCGTGCAAATGATGCTCGACTCGCCGACCAGAGTGTGGCCATCGTTGCAGCTGAATGTGACCAAAGCGCCAACTGTCAAACGCCTCTGACTCAAGCTGGTGCCCCCAATGCGTCCATTAAGCGGCGCCACTGGCATCACGCACTGAATGACTGTTAAAAAAAGGAGGTGGATCGAAAAGAACGACGTTTTAATTGAGACTAGGGATATTATTTTGCTGAAAGGCGAAAATCATATTGGAAATCACTCAAAAACATGTTATTAACTTGAACTTGTGCAGTATTATATGAATGCAAACGGGTTATTTGGTTTTCAAAACTATATTTAAATAAAATAAAAGAGACATCTTGAAACAATGTTAAACCATTTAGAAGCACTTAAATAGCCAACAGTTTTCATAGAGCATATCAACTGAAAAGAGCTTGCCACCTGTTGACTTGGAATCGTGTCAGACTCACCTTTGCAGCGTGGCACTGGGCCACTCCAGACGCCCGTCGGCTCACAGTCCAGCAGCGCCGGTCCGGTTAGCTTGAAGCCCCATTGGCATTTGAACACCGCCCGCCCCCATGCCGATGTGTTTAACTCAATGAGACTGAGATGTGGATCGTCTAGCACAAGGCGGGGACATTGTATGGGATGGCATGTTGGCGATGGCGATGACCAATTGCCTGAGGCCAGGCAGGTGGCATTCCAGGCGCCATCCAGCCTAAAGCCCTCGGGGCACTCATAAAGCGCTCGCTGGCCTAACTTATTGCCCTCGAGCCTCAGCTTGAGCGGCGCCATCGGCTCCGTTAGCTGCGGGCACGTCGAAGTGGCCACCACCACGGCAATGCTGTTTGTCAAACCGCGCGGCGAAGTGCACGTAAATGTGCCCGAATCGTTGTTCTCAATGCTCTTGATGCTCAGGCGATAGCGTACGGCCTTCTCCTCGCCCGCCGGCGACCAGCCTGCAATGGCAAATACGACCATATAACCATTTGTGCCCACGCCAGGACCCCTTCGACGCACCTGTATTGTACTGCATATACCAACTGGTCCAGCTCCATTCGGGAGTGCCGCGCACACGCGGATACATGCAGTCCATTTGCACGGTGCTGTGCGGTGGCACGGCCATCACGCCGGATGGCTCAAAGGAGTGCGATCCATTGAAGATCTTGATGCGTATGGAGGGTGCACTGTCCTCCGAGTAGTTGGTCAGCACGGTGGTGGGCACACAGCTGGGCATGCGCGGTGCCCAGAGACCATTCGAGCAGAGTACGCGCGATTCGCCCAACAACTTATAGATGCCCAGCTCCTGGCAGCGCGCCTGCAGCGAATGACCATGTGGCAGATCCCAGCCTACGTTCTGCAGGATGTTCAATCAATGTAGAATGGATGAGGGGCAACAGGCGAGAGGCGTGAGACGAGAGGCGACAGCAGGCAGAGATTCAGGCATTTGAAATGAAGCGAGTTTTTTGTTTAACGTGCAGTGCGTGAGAAAATTGCCAGTAGAAAATAGAACCAGGCAGAGAGAGAGCGAGAGAGAGCGAGAAAGAAAAAGAGAGAGAGAAAGAGACAAAAGTACAAAAAATTGTTTTTTAGACTTAATCACAAGCTGTTAACACAAGTTAGAGGCGCACTCTCTGGACGTGGGCGTGGCTTGGGTGTGCTGGCGTGCAGTTTCCATAGTGTCTCTTGCTGTCTGTAAATGTATATTCAAGTGTGTGTGTTTTGTTCTCTGTATGTGTGTGTGACTGTTTGTGTACCCAACGGTCAATGCTTAAGCCGTGCATATAAAAAAGTTGTCAATGTCAAAAGTCATAACATCACCCACTACTTGGGCATTGGACACTACTTGGTGTGTGTTGAAGTGTGTGTATATGTGAGTGTGTGTGAGTTGTGGTTGTATACACTGAGACAAAAGACAATATTCATCCATTAGAGCGCCTCGCAAGGCCAAGGACCTGAAAGCCTGCAGAATTTCTAGATGTATTCCATGTCGCTTTAAAGGCATCCACGTTTTCTACTTCTACTTATTCTTTCATCTATAATTTAAATTAAGCTACTAAATCATAGCAGCTTTAAGTTTTGAGGTGCGGTAAACACAAATATTGATTCTCAAAGTCGACGATCTTAATTTGAGAGCCTCTGATATAAAACATTATATTCCAAACCTGTTCCATTCTTCTCTTATAGATAAATTTCAGGATAAGAAGGAGCCGTTAAAACTACGAGTAAACTTGGCGAAAGGCCAAAACATATATAAAGCCTATTAATGTAATCCTTAACTTCCTTTTAATAAACAATGAGCTTTGTCGTAACCGTAATCCACACTAGCGAATGCTTTTAAGAAAATAATTAATAATGATATAAAAAATAATTATAAAAATAATAGATATAATAGTTATAATTATAATAAGTAAATTAAATAAATAATATAATTTATAATCATATTAATAATAATAACACATAACAAATATTTACATAAGCAGTTAGAAAATTATAAGTGGGAATAGGCAGAAATTCTTCTAATAGCTAAGTAACCCAAATATATTTCTCAGTGCATTTAAAGTGTGTGTGTATTTGCTTGTTTATGTGTCGCTTGTTCTGTGTGTGTGTGTGTCACAACTCTACATATGTGAGCAATATATGCATAGATACGGATACGAGGCACAGTAAACACAGACGAAGACGAAACGAGGCAACGTCAAGGATGGCCACTCACAATTTCTGTGTTTGAGACAAGTGTCGATTTGGATAAGCGGGTTTTACGCCAGCCGCGATTTGGTGGTATCGGTGTCTGCAAGAGAGAGAGATCAAAGAGTACCAAAAATACAGAGTCTTGTGGCTGCACAGGGCAGATGCGGATGCAGGATGCAAAGTTGGTTTTTATTTGATTTTATATATACTATATTAATTTTCTAGGATGACGCTGGGCAAATTGTTGTTGTTTGTGCGACTGATATCGATACAAGAGATGATGGAGAAATTGAGCGATACAGAGACAGAATCATAGACATATGCACATACATATATAAATATATATTTAGAGAGAGCGAGAGAGATATAGACAGAGACAGAGAGTGAGTGAGAGACAGAGACAGAGACAGTCGAAATTGAGTTGGACTCACATTTGGCTATGCCAAGGCCGATGCCTTCACTAGCTTGGATGGAGTTACTGCTGCGTGTGTGTGTGTGTGTGTGTGCCTTGTATGTGTGCCGTGTGTGTGCGTGCGTGTGTGTGTGTGCTGGGTGTTTTGTTGGTGCTTGAGCTCCAGGCACGGCTGACGGCTTTGTTGCCTGTCATCACTTACCACGGAGATGTTGCGATAGCTGAGCAGCAGATGAGTCGGAATGCGATTGACATGGCAGCTCTTGTACAGTGGCTGAAACTTCACGTTGCCGTTGTCATCTACAGATAAAGATGTCACTGAGATCAGCAAAGTTATGCACAGATAGATAGATAGACAGTACACTCAGAGAAAACTTATGCCAAGAGAAAATAAATAAAAATACAGATTAAGCACAAAATACCTAGTTCAGGAATTTAACTTCCTGCATTGAGCCTGATAAAAAATGTCTTAAAATGTTATTTTAGCTTAAGATATTTCAACTATAAAATTCATGATATTTTTCTCTGAGTGTATTTATATAGTTATAGTTATAGGCAGATAGATCGATAGAGATGTTGAAATGAAACAACTGGATTGTTGTAGGTGCTGCTATTATTATTATTATTATTGTTTTTTTTTTTTTTTGCGGTGTGCTGATTGTGTTGTCTTTATTAGACGAGTCTCTACTGTAATGACATGTTACGTATTTGTATTGCTATTGTATAATTAAGATTCCATTGTGTGCGTGTGCGTGTCTTGTATGTTGTATATTTGCGAGGGGGAGTCTGTCTCACTTACCCTCCTCATTGGTGGCACACAGCGGACCCACCCACTTGCCCTTGACGCAGCGTATCTTGCATAGGCGTCGATCGCCCATGGGTCCAATTTCACCTGGGAAACGTATCTCAGATACTTCGGTAAACTGCTGTAATATATCAATCTCCTCATCCTCCTCCTCATCCTCATCGAACTCGGAGTCATCAGTGTGTATGGGCGAATAGCCGGTCTCCTCATCATAGATGCCTAATTGGGAGGAAATCGGAACAGAACAGGTGAGGGCGTTATGAAATGGGCAAATGTATAATGCTAAGAAACGGGAAAGAGTGGGGAGGTGTTTGAGATAGAGAGACAGAGAGAGAGAGAGAGAGGCGGGAATTGAGAGAGAGAGAGAGAGCAAGTAGAGCAAGCAACTAATGAGCTGTTGTTGTGACCGATATGAGCAACGAGTGAGCGACAGGTGAATGAATGAATGCGTATATGAATGAGCATTGAATGCTCAACGAGTCAACGAGTTGAATAACCTCCTACCGCTGCACTACTCGCTGTTATCAGATGCTAAGGGCTTTCAATGTTGAAGTGGCCAAGCCTTTAGAAACTGGGTATGTGCTTGAAAAGCTGTCCCGCAAACGCTGGCTAAAAAAAGAAGAAGCAGGCACTCTTAGGCACACAAACACCAACACACACACGCACCCATACACACACACATTAAGCCGCACGAAACGTGCGAAAAGTGCTGCCAGCGCGAAACTTCAATGGGGCAACTTAAGGTTGTTAGATATGCATTAAAAGAGCCACGGAAATGGAATGGGACAGGATACGAATACGAGCACAGAGGGCGAGCGAGTGGGGTGGACAGGCCACTTAACAGGATACGACTTCATTTCTGAACGAGGCGTCAAAAAAAAGAAGAAGAAGAAAAGTGAAAAGGCAAAAGATAACATGAAAGATAATATTATGCCGTGCATGAGTCGAGCTGACAGAGACCCAAGTAACCAGCGGTCCCCAGACCCCAATCCAAATCCCAAGTGCCCAGGCTAATAGAAAAAACGCAAACGGACAAAAGCAACTGAATCAAAGTAAACAAAAGGACAGCACAAAGCAGCCAAAAAGGAAAGGTAAAAAAAATAGAGGCAACAGCTCCAGAAGTGCCAAAGATGAAATGCCCTAAAATATAATAAAAGTAGAAAAAGGAAAATTTTACTTTGTAATAAGCAGATCTATATATAATGAAAATAAACCAAAGAATGGGATATATAATAAAACTTTCACAAGCTGGATCAAAATATTCGAAATCAACAAAATATAATTTCTGCAATTCTGGAAATCTTAAAAAAAAGCACACACAAAAGCATAAAAAAATGATAGTAATACGATGATGATAAGTTTCTGCTCTAAAGTTAAATATTTATATACATATATAGAGATAAGTATTTGTGGATGATTTTTATAAGGATATGCTGAAAATATTTATCTGATTGATATATTGGGCCTATATAAGATTATGCTCAATAACGAGCTTCCATGTAAGAACTTCATTTTCGGACATTAGTTTCCTATATGTGCTACATAATATATTGCTTTGATCTGATTAGATCTATGCCAAGTTCCATTCACATAGTTTAAGTACTAAGTGACATAGAGACATGATATATGAATATGTCTTGTGCAATGCATGACACATTTTATGCCATAATTCTAGTGTCCTTTGAAAGAGTATAAAAGGGCAAGAAATAAAAAGTGTAACCCTGGTAAGCGAACCCACAAGCAGGAACCAACAGATGACAAAGCTAACCACGATAAAGAAAGAGTTTTTTTTTCAGCAGCAGTTGTTGTTGCAGATGGGAAACACAGACAGAAGCGAGTGGTGCGGCGGTGGTGCAGTCGGTGGTTCAGTAGTGGTGATGCTGAGGTAATGGTGGTGGCGGTGGGTGCAATGGTGAACTGAGTACAGCAATAGATGTGCCAGCATGGAGCATGTTAATGAGCTGAACGTGAGAGCGAATTGAGGCGATTTATGGCTGACTCCGGGTGGAAGCCTTGGGGCGACTTTGCGATTAGCTTTTAACGATTTTATGTATGTAACTATGTTTTCATTTGCTGTGTACTCCACTCTCAACACTCCAGGTGTGTGTCTCCGTGTGTGTGTGTGTGTGTGTGTGTGTGTGTGTATGTGTCTGTTTGTGTGCATGTCTGTGTGAATGTGGAGAGCATAACACAGACGGACAGACAGACAACGAGACAGCGACAGCGGCTTTCAATTCAATTCAATTTTCATGGGCACTGTGGCATTGCCAGTGTCTGGCCGCTATGCAAATGCTTTTCAATCCTTACCCTTGTCCTTGCGACTGGTGGTCTTTGAGCTGGAGTCGCCACCACCTTTCGGACGGCTCAGTGCACCCGTGGTCTTGCCCGACTTGCGCTTTACACGTTGCAGGGCCACTGCTGCACTGCTCGACTGATTGCCATGATTTATATATGCCACATCCAATTGGCCGGCATCGCCTTTGGCATCGATGCTGCGACGCCAACGCGATTCCATGTCACGCTGGTCGAGCTCTGCAGCGTGACTGTCACCGCGTCGACGATGATGCTCCTGCTTCGGCTTCGTCTCCGTCTCCGACTCCGGTTCCGGCTCTGGCTCCAGTTCTAGCTGCTGCTCGGGCTGCTGCTCCCTCTCTGCCGCCGCCTGCTTCTTCTCTGCCAGCACCTGCTTCGCTTTGAGCTTTTGCAGCAGCTTGATGCACTTCTCGCTGCTGCCATCGGCCAGGCACTTGGTCAGGCGTGCCTTTTGCTTCAGCCTGTGCAGCTTGGCGCGCAGCTGGCGATTGGGCTCGCGCGATTTCAATATATCCGCAATGTGCACGTAGTAGACATCACCCTCGGCGGCCAATTTGCTGCCCGCCCAGCGATCCGTGTCCGGCGAGGCATCCGCATCGTGCAGTATGGCATGGCGCTTGTAACGGCTGCCACGCCCACGTCCTGTTTGGCCATTCTCATTCTCGAGGCGACGACGACGACCGGAACCGGAGCGTCGTTTCTTGCCCTGCTTGCGATTGTTGTTGAGCCGCTTGCGGGCACCCTCCTCCAGCTGGGCACCATGCAGCTCATCCGCCTCGTCCTCCATGTCATGGTCATCCACAAGACTGGCTGCCGCATCGCCGGCATGCAGTTCATGATGATGGTGATGCTCATCGTCGCCAAAGTCGACCGAATACGGATTCACAATGGCCGCATGATTCTCTTTGACCGCATGCAGCTTATCCACAAATTCCACATCGGCGGTGGTAAAGTCCTCCGGCAGATAGACCTGTGTCGTCTCGAACTTCGCATACGGCTGTTCGGTTGTCATTTCCGGTTTGAAAATGGTGAAGCGCACATCCGGCGCCCGGCAGCCCGGCGATGCATCTGCAAAATATTGAGAGCGTGAGAGAGAGATAACGTGTTAGAGCGAGTCCGGGCAGGGGGCATTTTGAGTAGCTGAACTTTTGCCATAAATATTTCATATATGATCTAATTTAATAACTTGGCAACTTTGACTGACTTTGAAGTGCAATCGAAATTGCAAATTTCCAATATGCATTGGCATTTGGCATTTCCGCAAAGCACAGCACGCACACACACACACACACACTTGCACAAGTTTCAATTTGCAATGAGCAAAGTCATGCAAGCATTTTCCGTCCGAGCTACAGCAACATTTTCCATTTCCCTATTTCAATGGAAGTCGAGTTGAAGAATCGAGCAACTGCATAAAATGACGTAGTCGCCAGCGGCTGCATTCGAGTTTTCTCTTTTAAACATATTTGTATGCCCTATATTCGTTAAAACGTATGCAAATAGGGTAGTTAACATCCTAACTTTTTTAAATAAAACTATGAGTGGAGTCGCCAGAAGTCTATTGAAACATACGTTCTCTGTGATTTAAGTCTAGAGATTGAAAATTTGATATAGAGGCTGTCGTACAATATATACGTGTCACCTTATACGAATATACTTTAGCTGGGAAATGGAAAAATCTGTGCTTCGTGTCTGCAAACTAAAAAACTTGGCAAATTTTCAAATATGATTTCCACCTCAAAACACAGAATTAAATAAGAGCTTGGATTTCAAAGATATTTTTGTTAAAATAAAATGTTTCTTTCATTAAACATTATTTATTATTGCTCAAAGTAAAGGCAGACTCATAAACTTAAAAGTTTCTTGATTTAAATGTTTTTTTTTTATATTGAAAATTTGCGACAAACTAAGGTTGAATATTCGAAATTAATATTTTCATACTTTTTAAAGGGTATCTGTCAAGCACACCTATCTTATGCATGCCAAAATCCAGTTTCAATTTTTTTCCCCCTTTTATTGTTGTTCGGCACCAACAAAAGTGGGTCAAATGCAATGTAAAGCAGCTAAATTGCATTCTACGCTCTTAATTTATGTAATTCAATTGCCAATTAGCCAAGAGCAAATGTCAACGCAAATGTATCTCAAAGTGCGAACACTTAAATGCAACTCATTTAATTAGACCGGGTCGAAATGCTCTTAACAATAGATACGCCTGCAATTTGTGCCATAAATAAAGCACTTTATAACAACTATAGAATATTAAAATTGAAACCTGAAATTATAATTGGTTGCAAGCGATAAATAAATAGAAAAACAATTATTGTAAAATAAATTGAAAGAGAATGTAAATTTGATAAGCTTATAAAGTGCAGGGGAAAACAATTTACTAAAGTTCAAGTTTAAAAACCAAATTAGATATTTGCTATGTTTCTTAAGTTGCGTCAAAAAAAAATTATTCAAAGTTTTAAATGTCAGACAAAACAAGCAGCTAACATTCGAAAGTATGTCGAACTATTCAAATTTAAATATGCAACAGCTATTAAGAGCTCTGTAGAAGCTCAGAACATGTTTAAATACTCTCATGATTCATTCCAATGAATTAGTTTTCTGATGATGTTGCCTGAATCTGACTTGTTTTTGAGTTCAAATAAAGTTTGTTCAATAACGATGAGAATTCCCTTTGATATCTTTATTATGCCGCACAGCTGTTAACGGCGATTATAATATGGGTAAATATATCGGATATTTTTATCTTCACTGCGTTACAAAATAGAGTTATAACAGCGTGCACCCATTAAAAACGGGCAACAAGGGTAGATGGGTTTTGTGCAAGTGTATGTAACAAGCAGAAGGAAGTATCTTTAACACCTTAAAGTCTATATATTCTGGGTAAGCATCTAGCCGTGTCCATCAGTCTGTCCGTATAAATAAACACTTTTATCTCAATACTTATTAGAGCTTCATTTGGTATTGGTAAAAGACGATACAGGGTATCCACTAGTCGAGCAGTCACGACTAGGGCATCTTACTTGTTTCATATACGATTTCCATTACTTGTAGCCTAGAATATTGCCAATATTTCAAAGCTATAAAAGGCAAATATATTGTACGTTCAATGTGAGCTGCCTGTTAACTAATCTAATAATTAATAAAAAACAGCAATAAAGCAACCAATTGTCATAAGTTGGTTTAGCTAATGAGTATAACAAGTTTGTTAAACAGACATTATACATATTATAAAGCATACATTACAATCTGTTCCGACAAAACAAAACGAATCGTGCTCGCTCAAGCCGGCATAATGACTTTTGGTATACCCATTGAAAATGGCCGAAAAGGGTATAACACCTCTTGGGAAGTGTATGTAACAGAGATAAGGAACCATCTCCGACCCCATAAAAAATATTCTTTATCAGCATCAACAGCCGAGTCGATCTAGCATATGATCGCGTCAATATCATTACCTATTACAGAAGTTTCAGGGTAGCTCCTAGTCAGGCACTCCCACCCAGAGCGCTCTTGATTACTACTGACTAAGATAATGAACAAAATTTTAAAGCTTGTTGTTTTAGTCTCTGTGTGGCATTGGTTGGACATAGTTATACGTGTGGTTCGACTGCTTTGAAATGGACTTGGGTTTATTGATTTTGATCGGTCTGGGCACGCTTATCTTCTGGCTGTATAGGATCAACAAGGACTACTATGTGCTAGCCTTCTTCGCAAAGCGTGTGCGCACCAAGGATGGACGACCGGTAGAAAGCATAGCTCCGGTGCCTGAGGGACGCACCATCTTTGGAAATAGCTTCGACTTGTATGGCAGAAATGACGGTGGATAAAACTAACCCATAATAATCTGCGAATGACTCAGAATAGCTTTATTTTTTCATCTTTTCCAGCTGAGCTGTTCAATGATATGCGTGTCAGGGCCAAGAAAATGGGTCGTAGCTTTATAGAATATGTTATGGGCACGTCCATTTACAATATTATCGACGCAGAAAACTTTGATTTAATATTGAACGACCAGAACCTGATAACCAAGGGGCTGGCATACGGATTTCTGCATCCGGCTCTACGCACTGGCCTGCTGACATCCACAGGTAAGTTAACTTGTTCGGTAAAAATTAAAACGAAATGAAAGTAAATAAGCTACATCTTTACAGATAAGAAATGGCACTCGAGACGGAAGATGCTCACGCCCACATTTCATTTTAATATTTTGGGTCAATTTGAGGAGACTTTCAAGTAAGTTTTCATCATTAAAAACAACCCTAAATGGATTTTAATTCCAATTTCTCAAATAGAGCGGAGAGTTTGAAATTTGTGAAACAATTCGAGGGGAAAGAGGAGACTTGCATCTCTCTGAGTGAACTTATACCCAGATTTACGCTTAACAGCATTTGTGGTAGGTCCACTAAACTGAGTGTTCACTGTAGCTTAATCTTCAACTAAAATGTTAACATCCACAGAGACGGCCATGGGCATAAAACTGGATGATATGGCTGCCAAGGGAGATCGCTATCGCGAGAACTTCAGCATGATTGAAAAGAGTTTTATAAGACGTATGAGTAATCCACTCATTTGGAATAATACCATCTATAATCTCTTTGGCTCCAGCGAGGATGCGCGCTTCTTAAAAGAAGTCCACGAATTCTCCAGCGAAATAATTGCCAAGCGTCGAATACTTCTGGAACAGGTGCTTAAGGAAAAGCTCAGCGCTCAAACGGCAGATGATGATATGTAAGGGTATATTTATATTTAAGTATATCCATTATCATATTCAATTGATTCCTTCCTCTTAACCTAGTTACATCAACAAGAAGCAACGCTTTGCCATGTTGGATACGCTTATTCTTGCGGAGAAGGATGGTTTAATTGATCACGAGGGCATTTGCGAGGAGGTGGATACGCTTATGTTTGAGGGCTTTGATACTACGTCGATTGGTCTCATATTTGGGCTTATGAACATGTCCCTAAATCAGGACAAACAGGAGCTGTGCTATCAGGAGATAAGCGAGCACATAGCTGGTCAGTTTACTTTACCGCATCCTCTACAATGTAAAGCTATCTAAGCCCAATATACTCGTCTCTATATCAGATGATTTGAGCAACTTGGAAATTAATCAGCTCTCTAAACTGAAGTATTTGGAATGTTTTGTTAAGGAAACGCTGCGCTTGTTTCCATCTGTGCCCATAATGGGCCGTAAAACAGTAAGAGAAACGGAACTGGCCAATGGCCTGATATTGCCGGCTGGTGCAGAAATCGCCCTTCACGTCTTTGAGCTACATCGGAATTCCAAATACTGGAGCGATCCAGATGAGTTTCAACCAGAGCGCTTTCTGCCCGAAAACTCCAAGGACCGTCATACTTATGCCTATATGCCCTTTAGTGCGGGTCAACGCAATTGCATAGGTAAGTTTAAATTGGGTATAGATTTTAAAGGTAAGACTGCCTTATATTAAATTCCATTACAGGTCAAAAGTATGCCATGCTGGAAATGAAGACCCTGCTCATCGTAGTACTCAAGCAATTTAAGATTTTACCACTTGTCGATCCCAAGGAATTCGTTTTCCACACTGGCATTACACTACGTTGCAAAAATAATATTAAAGTAAAGCTAATCAGGCGTAGTTAGACATATTTCATGTTTATATAAAGCCAGATTAGGAAATTTTAAACAGCCTAAAGAGCTTTATCACCTAAGTACGTGATCTATAGTCATACATTATGTTGCATTCGCAATACGCTAGAAATTCAGAAGATAATAATATTTAACCCTACCTTCTAAGTAAGTTTTTTTTACCTAACTTGGGAATGTAACTTGGTATGTATTTTGTTTTTGTTCTCTTTGATGATGAAATTGTCATTTTTATATAAAAGATCGTGTTTAGTTAAAAATAATTCTGCGTATGTTTTATTTTTCGCACCTCAGCACCTTCTCGTTGGTATTATTAATTCCCGTTAAATCCAAGCCTACTCAGGATTGTCTCCAAATAACTATACATATAAAACTTTTTGTCCTAACTGAATGGTAATAAAAGCACAAAGCAAACCCAAGAGGAAGAAGACATTTTGGTTGTATATTTAAAGGTACCCTTGTGCTTTAGCATATACAGACTCTCGTATATACATATGTGCATTTTGTATGAGTGTCGGGCACTTTTGAATACTCTCAAATATTCAATATATTTTTTAAGTTCAATAGACACTTATAAAATGTATTAATATACCTATGATTCATTTGTAATATTAGCCTAATCATGATGATAATGGCATGTATAAAGTAGTCAAATAACGATGAGAATTCGCTTTCATAGCTTGATTGTGTCGCACAGCTGTTAACTGCGACTATACTATCAAGTAAGAGGTTCTAGTCGGGAGCTCCCGACTAGGGGATACCCTGAACCCTCTTCTTCCAACATCAAATGCATATATATATTCTAGTCTCTAGCTCTTATAGGTTCTGAGATCCTTGCGTTCATATATACCGACAGACGGACGGACGGACAGACGGACAAAAATGCAAATACCTAGGTTTAAATTGTTAATGCTATAGAGCTAATAATCTGTGAGATAGACGAGTTCAGACAGACACACCTGGCTAGATCGACAAGTCAAGATATTAATAGAGAATATACACACGGTATGGGGTCGGCGAATCCCCCTCTGCCCGTTGCATACATTCGCATAAAACAGTTACACCCCATTTAACCCATTTTCAGTGGGTTCACGTTATAATAAACCTCTATTAAAATTAATTACATTTGCTGAGAGAACAAGTTTTTTGTTGGATAGATTCAATAAATGCTTTGTGCTCCAACAAGCCCACATACTCACATATTATATATTTTTCAAACATTCCTATCTTTACGTTCCGACAGAATAAAACAAGTTGTACTCGCACAAGCCGGCATTAGCAATCTTATCTTGTGCGATTTTTACTACAAACTGAGATAATGTCTAAACGCCAGGGCTGTGGGGCTCATTGGAAAAAATTGTAGTGCTCGTTGCTTCAGTCTCTGTGTGGCATTGGTTGGACATGGTTATACGTGTGGTTCGACTGCTTTGAAATGGACTTGGCTTTATTGATTTTGATCGGTCTGGGCACGCTTATCTTCTGGCTGTATAGGATCAACAAGAACTACTACGTGCTGGCCTTCTTCGCAAAGCGTGTGCGCACCAAGGATGGACGACCGGTAGAAAGCATAGCTCCGGTGCCTGAGGGACGCACCATCTTTGGAAATAGCTTCGACTTGTATGGCAGAAATGACGGTGGGTAAAACTAACCCATAATAATCTGCGAATGACTCAGAATAACTTTATTTTTTCATCTTTTCCAGCTGAGCTGTTCAATGATATGCGTGTCAGGGCCAAGAAAATGGGTCGTAGCTTTATAGAATATGTTATGGGCACGGTGGCTTACAATATTATCGACGCAGACAATTTTGATTTAATATTGAACGACCAGAACCTGATAACCAAGGGGTTGGTATACGGCTTTCTACATCCAGCTCTACGCACTGGCCTGCTGACATCCACAGGTAGGCTACACTGTGCAGTAAAACCTATTACCTACTGAAAATAATAAAGCTACATCTTTACAGATAAGAAATGGCATACGAGACGGAAGATGCTCACGCCCACATTTCATTTTAATATCTTGGGTCAATTTGAGGAGACTTTCAAGTAAGTTTTTATAAACCAGCCGAATTGATTTTAATTCAATTTTCCCGAATAGAGCGGAGAGTTTGAAATTTGTGAAACAATTCGAGGGGAAAGAGGAGACTTGCATCTCTCTGAGTGAACTTATACCCAGATTTACGCTTAACAGCATTTGTGGTAGGTCTACTAAACTGAGTGTCACTGTAGCTTAATCTTCAACTAAAATGTTAACATCCACAGAGACGGCCATGGGCATAAAACTGGATGATATGGCTGCCAAGGGAGATCGCTATCGCGAGAACTTCAGCATGATTGAAAAGAGTTTTATAAGACGTATGAGTAATCCACTCATTTGGAATAATACCATCTATAATCTCTTTGGCTCCAGCGAGGATGCGCGCTTCTTAAAAGAAGTACACGAATTCTCCAGCGAAATAATTGCCAAGCGTCGAATACTTCTGGAACAGGTGCTTAAGGAAAAGCTCAGCACTCAAACGGCAGATGATGATATGTAAGGGTATATTTATATATAAGTATATCCATTATCATATTCAATTGATTCCTTCCTCTTAACCTAGTTACATCAACAAGAAGCAACGCTTTGCCATGTTGGATACGCTTATCCTTGCGGAGAAGGATGGTTTAATTGATCACGAGGGCATTTGCGAGGAGGTGGATACGCTTATGTTTGAGGGCTTTGATACCACGTCGATTGGTCTCATATTTGGGCTTATGAACATGTCCCTAAATCAGGACAAACAGGAGCTGTGCTATCAGGAGATAAGCGAGCACATAGCTGGTCAGTTTTCTTTACCCCATCCTCTACAATATAAAGCTATCTAAGCCCTATATACTCATCTCTATATCAGATGACTTTAGCAACTTGGACATTAATCAGCTATCCAAGCTCAAGTATTTGGAATGCTTTGTTAAGGAAACGATGCGCTTGTTTCCATCTGTGCCTATTATGGCCCGTCAAACAGTTAGGGAAACGGAACTGGCCAATGGCCTGATATTACCGGCTGGTGCTCAAATCACCCTTCATGTCTTTGACTTGCATCGGAATTCCAAATACTGGAGCGATCCAGATGAGTTTCAACCAGAGCGCTTTCTGCCCGAAAACTCCAAGGACCGTCATACTTATGCCTATATGCCCTTTAGTGCGGGTCAACGCAATTGCATAGGTAAGTTTAACTTGGGTATTGGTTTTAAAGGGAAGACTGCCTTATGTAATATTCCATTACAGGTCAAAAGTATGCCATGCTGGAAATGAAGACCCTGCTCATCGTAGTACTCAAGCAATTTAAGATTTTACCACTCGTCGATCCCAAGGAATTCGTTTTTCAAACTGGCATTACACTACGTTGCAAAAATAATATTAAAGTAAAGCTAATCAGGCGTAGTTAGACATATTTGAATTATAACCAGCCTTAAGAGTTTTATTAGCTAACGACGTGATCTGTAATACACTTATGTTCAAATATAAAATTGAAAATTCAGCATTTAATGGTGTTTATTAGACTACTTTCTAAGCTAGCTATGGAAATGGAATCGTATTGGCTTAATTATTTTTAAATATTATTCTATGTGTTTTCGCAAACTTTTATGAATGAAAAGTATCTTTGAGTCGCGTTTAGTATTATTTTTTCTTTTTCTCTAAAGTCCTGTTCAAAAGCTGATATATGCGTAGAATAAAACTCTTTATTTTGTTTACGAGTGTATTATACAAGATTCGAATTATACCTTAAAACCGATAAAATCTTAAGTTCTTAGCATAATTTTAGGCTTCTCTGCAAATTTGTGTGTTAATGTTAATTACAAAGAACGACCAACTAGAAAGAACCGCCTTCAGATTGACATTAAAAAATAGGTTGTTATAATTTTGACACTTGTTGTTTAATTGTGTGGGTTACAAAAACAACTTTTTTATGTCCTCCGATCGCCTTCATACATATTTGCAAACAATTTGGAACGTGTTTAATACCTCTCCGTAAAAATGGGGGTTACATTTTAGATTAGCGATTGTTATATAATTGCGCTTTGAGCTCATTCTCAAACTTTAAGCTCATTCTCAAAGCAAACTTTGAATGCAACTTATCGTTCCTTTACGATTCAAGCTCATTTTCAAATATCTATATTCCATTTGAATGTGTAAAATTCAGAGATAAAAAACATGTGCCGCGTGTCTGTGAGTAACTATTTCATTCATGTAACATTATTAATTTGCTAAATATTCGAGGGGAAGTGTTTCAAAGCAGTCCATATTTAAGTTGGTTACACGAAAAGCTCTTAAAACAGCGCCCAGTCAGCAGTCGCTTTCGGGCTGATAATCGCTGGCAATGGGCCACTGTTGGCAGCTGAAGATGCATTTCTGCCCGAACCGCCCCTCGCCCCTGTAGTAGCAGCCGCTCTATAAATCATTCATGCACAGCCAAGCAAAAGCAGTTTTCCCACAATGAACAAGTCGGGAGCTGGCTTTATGCAAAACACGCATACGCCACAGTCGAAACTGTAGTCGGTAGCCGGCTGCTGGGAGAGATGGAAAACGCAGACGAAACTGAAGCCAAGTCGTTGCTAGGATTCGAGTCATCTTTATCTTTTAGCGCATGCATTGCACATAATATGCCAGGGACTGGGACAGGCGCAGGACTACATCCTGGGGACTCCACAGAGCAGGATGCTGTCTTGGACGACTTTTTGTCATTTGCCTGCTGTGTTTTTTCCCCCTTTTTTTTGTCTTTTTTTCAGTTGTCGCTTTTGATTTTGACAGTTCGTTACTCGGTTATACCATTTGCATGCATAATGCTCAGGCAGAACCAGGAAGGCAGCAGCAGCCCAGAGCCAGAAACTAGAGCCCAGAGCCCAGCATCATCTGTAGCAGGCCAGCAGAATTCCTATGTACTAAGCGCAGCAGTTGGCCTGGGCACATGTGAGCTGTCCCAGTCCTGCGGCTATGTAACCCACACATCACCAACAGCATCATCATCATCACCATTATCAACATGATCATGAGCTACTCATCTTTGTCATCAAATGCAAATATAAAAAAACAGACTAGACAGCTGTCTTCGGCCGAAGATTAAATACCCTACGATTAAATACAATACGATTTATTTTTATAAATAAACCCTATTTCCAAGCCATGAATCCCATAAATTAAATAATAAAAAAAAAAATGATATGACAGCGTTTTGATGCTGATAAGAATTTGCCCATATATAAGGATAATAGAAGATCTAGATAATGCAAAGTTTGGTTAAATATATTAGTTGTTTTTCTAAGAACTCAAAACTTCGACTGAAAATTTCCATGACAGCCATTTGATATAGTCATACGGTTCGACTGACTAATCTAGACTAGACTTATATGCAAAGCATATTATATATAGCGAAATTATATGTACCGAATAGCGTCTCCTTTGAGGCGTTACAAGCCTCGTGACTAGATTCTAATGCCCTCTCGTTAAGGGTAGAGAAAGCTTTAAGATTTATGGCACATACTTCGGCTTGATGCACAATTGTGCAGAGTGAGCGACATTTTTAGTTGCCATTTGGCTTATTGCAGATTCCAGCTAGCTGGCGCTTTTCTTTCGCATTTCCTTTTCCGCGCACCCTGCCCCGAACAAAAAATGCCATTTTGCAATGCGATTTGAGCTGTGCGCGCTTCATGCAAATTAAATTCCAGCTGCTGTGTGTTTGTTTGTGTCTTGGTCAAATATTTTAGCTGACGAAATGGAAAGTGCTTGCCGCAACGCAAGCTGCCACTGCATCTGCCATCAAAAAGCCAGAATCCACCCAACACCTGCATCCGCAACCCATTCTCAATTTTCCACAAACTGCGCAATTTGCCGAAAAAAAAAAATCAACTGCGTCGCAGTTTTTACCGATGAGATCATCAGCGTCCATTCAGGCAGCGGCAGGACGAAAAAAGGATGCCGTCAAAGAAAAAACATGTACGGCTGCTCTACCCGGAAGTGTCCAACTAAGAGATACCCTATATATACTCTTGTAAGCTTGTATGCACTTTTACGCTTCTATATATATAGTCAGAAAACAGGAACTGAACGTTCATTTTGATTGACTTCGTAGAACCATATTGTCCCAGAGATAGACTATATCAAGCATTCGGACAGATAGGCAGACGGAGTTGGCTAAATCATCTCGGCTGAAATAAGCATTTGCTTACCGAGATCGAAGAACCCTTCTTCAGCCTGTTACATACATATGCCGAAAATCGGTATACCCTTCTTACCCGTTCTCAATGGGTTCAGGGTATAAAAGGAAAAAAATTAATTACTTGATGCGCATCTGCTTTTGCGTAACAAATTGCGTGTGACAGCCGCCGCAGCATTGAGCACTTTTCACAACCACCTCAAATAATCCCCCCTCCTTTCCCCCTACTCGACCTACTCGACCTACTACACACCCGCCGCGCGGCACATGCTATTAATATCTATTAACCAGAACTCGGTAGCTGCCATACTTCATTAAATGCTTTCCTGCAATCGCACTGCCTATTTTTTTTGTCTCAGTGTGTGTGTGTGTGTTGACGCTGATTGGGATTACGGTTTGGCCAGCAGGCCTCGTTTTGATTGCCTCTGTGCCACCAGAGGACTGTGATTGGGGTGGTGCGGCGCTTGAGGGAGCACAGTACAGGTCGGCAGTTGGCGCTGTGAACACGAAATATTTCATTTACGGCGAGTTATTTGCTCTGCGCTTTGCTTTTGCTTTTCATTTGCTTTGTTTTCGAACAACCCGGTTAACTCTATTAGGAGTCAGGTATTCGCACTTTGTCAACATTTTTGTAACAAAAACGAGTTAAAAAACACATGTCAATCAAAATATATTTATGATTATATTTGAACTCTGCCAGTGCAAAAGGGTTTTTTGTGCATGCTTGAAATTATTTTACGGAACAACTTTATCCCACAAAAAGAGTTTGACTTTATTATGGATGCGTGCATGTAGTGAAACTCTCACAATCAATATGTAATTTATTAAATTACTTCATTTTGTGAAGTTGCAGTCGGAATGAAAAAATATTGATTTCAAGATTGAATCTTATCATTAATCAAGATGATTAATGCGCTGGCAAAACATAGAGAACATCCTACATAAAGAAACAATCCCAAAAAACTTTCTAATTGCCATCTATTGTTAAAATAATTTAAATCAACAAGTAGATAATAATATCTTTTCATTCATCATTTTTAAATCTCTATTTTTATCAAGCTCTGTGCAGAATGCGGCAAAGTTATGAACAAATTTAAATACCATAAACTGAGTTCGCCGAAAGAAAAGAAAACGTTCTTCCAATCATCTGATAACAAAAAACATTCTGTACTCATTTGAACCATGCAGAGGAAACTTTCAAAATACAAAAATGTATATCTCTTGTCTAAATAATATTACAAAAAGTTTATTTGAAGGCGATCAGCGATTTCTACAATCTCTCTTTCTTGCTTTGCAGACCTGTCAAGTTGTTACTCTTGTCTCAATGCATGCTTTAACTGTTTAAGAATTTTAAGCGCGCCACACGCATATAAATTTTATTTAAAGACTCTCTGCGGCTCTTCAATTATCAGACTAGTATATGAAACTGATGTGAGTGACGGCCATTTGGCTTTGTTTCTACAAGAATATTCCGACTTCGTTATATGCCAAAGTAAGTATTGTACATTGAATTTTGTTTTGCTTTTGGTGGGCGTGTGTTTTTATTGTGTGTGTGTGCTTGTGTGTGTGTGCGTGATTATCGCTTTTGAGCACGAAAGTCATTTAACAAAGTGGCTGCTGCCCCAGCTCAGCAACAGCATCAATAACTGTGCCGGCATCTGCCATATAGGCCATAATTTGTAACAAAATTGCCAAAAAAAAAAAACAATAGAAAAAAGGAAAATACTCAACGTTGCCAAATGAAGGTCAATTTGAAACTCACCTGGCTCCACCGTTGTGGTGGTGGTCTCCACGGTGGCTGGTGGCTCCGTGTTGGCCTGACTCTGGCTGACTCTGTCCAGGACCAGCAGCAGAATGGTCAAGGATATTAAAGCCCAGAGTGGCTTATGGCGCATACGCTGCCAACTCCACATGTTGTCCAAAGTCAAAATTGGTTAACTGTTTGTTTTAGCTTACACTCACACACACGAACACACAGCTAGAATCAATTGGCTGACATTGAGCAGAAACACACTCGAAGCTTAGGCGAGAATGTGCAGACTGGCCAAGGGGCAAGGTAATGTGTGTGTGTGTGTGTCTATTGTTGCCTTTTGTTTATTTTTTTCTTTTGTTTTTGAGGCGTCTTTAAACCGCTTACAGGCTGCACTTTAAAGTTTATTTTTTTTGCTGTTGCCGTCGCTCAATGCCAGCTACAGTTAGTGGCAACAACAGCAACAACAATTATGCTGCTTGCCACAACGACAACACTTCACACGCTGCCTTCAATGGCGCAAAAATAGAAATCCACTTGCAGCAACACACTCACCCACACACACTCGTGTGCGTCTGTGTGTATGTACTTTTGGCAATTTGCCAAGTCACTTTAAGTTTTTCACTCTTGTTTTCACTTTAAAGCTGAGCGCTTTTCCTCTCGCAATTTGCCCACTGCTGCTGCTGGCAACTGCTGTTGCTGCTGACAAAATGCGTTGCTGCTTGTGCGACGCGTCCTTTTTATAGTGCTGGCGGCAGCATCGTTGGATTCGGCGCCGTCTACTCGGCTCCACTTCGGCACTGAACGAAGCCAGGATACGAGCATTAAGGACACGAGCTCCGGCTGCTGCTGCTGCTGTCACGTGCATTTTGCCGGCAAATCGCGTGTTTTTGTTTTGATTTTCCTAGTGTTTTTCTTGCTGCTGCTTTCGCTTTTCACTTGCCGCATTTTAGGCGCCATGCGTGTGTGTGCGTGTGTTTGTGTGTGTGCGAGTGTATGCCCTTGTAAATCGCACGTAGCTGCGTTCAAATTCGCGCGCGTTTATTCCCCTTTGGCAATAGCTACAAATGAAGTTTACTTTACTTGTGGCTGCTGCATTTGATCAAATAAGCCACAGACACACACTCACACACGCACGCACACACATGACTGTGTGTGTACGTAGCGTATAATGCTATGGCATTGTATCCTTAGACTAAGCATCTGCAACTTGTCAACATCTTCGACAATGCAAACAACACGAAATTGCACTTAACAAGGCTAATCAATAAATTTAAGCTTGAATTAAGAACAAGATTTGCATTGGAAGTGCATCAAATGCGTTCAATTACACAAACAATGGCTGAAAGGTGGATTTACATCTTAGGTTCATTCAAAAAGAGTAGCAACTATTTAAAATGCAGTTGGAAATTAAAGAGAGCCTTCAAAGCACATGAAAACTTAAACTTTGAAGGAGCTTAATTAAAGCTGAAGTCCATTGAGTAATAAATTTATTTATTAGCCAAAAGCTGAAGTCTATAGTTTAATACATGATACTCTAAGCTCATATGGTAAACTGCTTTAAAAGCGCTTGAAGCTTTTACTTAATCCAATTAAAGCTCACTTAGACCTAAAGTTCAGAACAGTTACATTTGCCAAATTGCTACACTTCATTAAGTCTTTGATTATTGAAAATATTCCCAAAAGCCAAAAAGCTTTTTAATCTGAAAGCTCTAAATATATGAAACAGCTTTAAAAGCTCAGCCAATTATATAAAAGCTAAGAGTAATTTCTAATAATATGTCAAACAGCTTTAAAAGCACATTAAATCTTTAAATAATAATCGAAGAAAAAGTTCAAAGCTCTTTCTAAAATAAATCTTGTATTTTGGCCTAGACAATCTAAACATAAGTAACAGCTTCTACTTATAGTCTTGTGCGTGCTTTCAGCTCAACCAAGAGTTTAAGACACGCTCCAATTGCGCCTCAATTAAACAAATATTTGCTGCTTTTTCAATCACTGTCATTGCACCATAAGCAACCACATTAATCTGCAACGCAACGGAGACAGTGCCCCCTCGAAAAGAAGGCAATGAATTGTGCTCAACAGGATAACGTTTCGTCGGGAGGCAGGGAAATTGCGGTGATTGGAGCACTTGAATTGCGGTCAGCCATCAAAATGGGCTGGGGCTCGTCCGCTCCGCAATGACATCCTTGGCCACTAATTACGTAAATGAATTCTGTGGCAAGGCAGCAAGTAGTCAACTGTGCCTTGTGCCAACGTGCAACATTTCCGGCTGACCCAGCCGCATGCCGTGATAAATGCTTGCCTCGGACTGGACACGTTTTGGGGTAGCAACAGGACAACAATTGAATGCCGCATACAATGCTGTCTGGCTGAGCTCCAGCCTGCCACTTGCCACTTGCTACTTGCCGCTTTCTACTTGCCGCTTGCCGCTTGCTGCCGCTGCTGCATTGAAAATTTGCTGAAATGCGAAACGCGCAGCTCAAACAGAAGCGCTCAACTCAAGTCAAGTGGAAAATGAAAACCGATGTTGTTGTTATGACAATTGTCAAATGTTGTTGTTGTTGTTGTTGTTGTTGCAATCGTTGTGCATTTGTGCCTGGCAGAAATACTGCAAATTCAATTGTGCCGCATTATCTGTATAATTTGCTGCATGCTCCACATTTTTGTTGTCAGCTGTTTCGAATACATTTTCCCTGTTGTTTGCTTCAATGCACCCAAGCTGCACACACACACACACACACACATACATTCTCTCAATAAGCACATACTCATGTTGTACCCAGAACAAATAAATTCAATTTGCCACAAATCCAAAACAAAAACTTGCCAATAAACCAAAATTTATCAGGCTAATAATTGTTATTGTCATATAAAATTATTATATGTGAATGCGTGCAAGTATGTGCTTTCGCCTGCACACATATTTGCATATTAAACGTTGCTGACACAAGATGCATCTGTTGCATAAATAAGTTAGAGCATGACAATCTAATTACATTATGTTGTTGCAACTGATGCATCGAGGCGACTATTGAGCTTGAAGTCAACTTTGTAACGTAAATCGACAAGAAGACTGAGTATTATTTCATTTAAATTTAAATAATGATTTATATTGAGAATATTTTATACTATTTAAATACTTGTAAATGCATAACAAACTGAAGGAAAATGAAGTTGAAATACTCAAAGAAAGTTTTTATTTGAAAGCTTTTTTCAAAAAGAAAAACAAATCTATGTTAATTTTCTATACTATATTCAATACACGGTGATGTTGATAAGATTTGGCAAATACATTAAAAATAGCCTTAAAGCCTTAATTAACTTTAGTCGAATACAGAAAAGAAATACGTTAAGCTAATTTCAAATTCTTTATTAAAATGAGTCGAAGCTTCAATCGCTTTAGTTGTATAATGGAAACATAAGCATAAGCCTAACGTGAACTATATTTGATACAACCAAATTGTATTTTGGATAAACAAATTGTTGTTATAGTACTCTGAGTATGAAAGTCTAACTAATACAAGTAATAGTAAGTGTTTGTGGAAAACGAGGTTCAGAAACCGTACCCTATAGTGAAGCATTGATACTTATACAGCTTGAACCGGAGCACGTCTTCTCTAGCACATATCTGACCAGCTCTAGCCTCTAGCTAAATGATGGTTTTAAGCCAAGTATCATGAAGATAAAGGTTGAACAGAAATAGTCACATATATATTCCTTGTTGCTTGAGAAATAATCAAAGTCGGTTTTGTTTTCAAGCATCCAATTGCTTAGAATAATTTGGCTTACGATTGAGCAAAAAGTATCATCGATCGATATCTATATATTTCACTCAAGTATCTCAAAGTAATCAGATAATGATTAGTGCTTTTGCAATGCAATTACACTGTCATTGCCTGCTTGGGCGTGCTGGGCATGGTGGGCGTGGCGAGCCAAATAAATTGCTTGGGGTCGAAAAACGAATCGAGTAGCTTCAACTCGAATCAATTGCAATCGAAGGAATCGTATAATTAAATCAATTGCAGACTTGCTGGCGTCTCAAGCGAAAGACAATGTCTGACGGCGTCTGTGGCAGGAGGCAGGAGGCGGGAGGCAGGAGGCGGGAGGCAGGGCCGAGGACGAGGGCGAGAGCTAACCGGGCGTATGCGCGATAAGCAAAAGTTGCATGGGGCACCAAAAATCCTGTCGTGTCATGCAATTATCGAGTTTTAATGAAATTTCACGCACAGTCATACAAATCCATTGAACGCAAAGCAACCAAAACTAAAAGGAAAAACGAAAACTGCGCTTAAGTGAAAAGCGCGTCAAGTGGCTGGTGGTCAGTTCTGGTGGCTTCCTCTAATTACCCGCGACACTGGGCCGGCATAGTTAATTGCATTGCCAATGATGCGGCAAAAGCATTTTGACGCACAGCTCAGACAATGCAACAAAATGGAGGGGGGCCAAAAGCCATTAAGTCATTAATGGATGCTTAAATTGTGATTAAAGTTGTAAAAGGGAATTTCATGAGCTGCCAGTTAAATAACTGTTGCCACACAAATTTGTGTGCGTGTGTGTGTGTGAGTGTGTGGAAAATTGAATAGCAGTCGCACAAGTACAAAATGTTGGCAAAAAGTTTAACAAGTTTTGCAGCTGTTGTGGCGTAATTAGGCCATATTCGCATTGAATTGCAAATGACATTAGAAAATTTGCAAGTAAAAGTTTGCAGCTAGTCGAGATTGGGCGGAGTGTGTGTGTGTTTGTGTGTGAGGGGAGGGGAGGGGAGCGGAGCTAACGAGTTTCCAACTGTGCGTCGAAGCCAAGTTCTGTCGTTGTGTAAATTAAATAAAACATTAATTGCTTGCTTACGTCACGTAATTTACGAAAGCCACAGTCGCAAGCCAACATTCGAGCCAACATTCGAGCCACATTCGTGCCACATTCGGCTCCCCGAGCAATACATACACGCCACAGCGACACGTACTGCCAATAAATCTCAATTGATCCCCGCGGTGTTGTTGCAAAAGTTCAATTAAAAGTCTCCCCGTGGCATGCCTCAAAGTGCCCAGGCCAGGGCACACACAAACACTCACACACACACACACACACACACACACAACTGTTGCCCCATTGGCAAACGGCTGCAAATATGCTAAGTGGCCAAATGTGCGCACACTATTTGCATGCACTGTATGCCACATGTTCAGTGTCCTCTGTCCAGTGGGAGCAACAGACACAGTCAGCATACGAGTCACATGCTTCACCTCATTATCTCCTCCTGCTGCTCCTCCTCCTGCCACTGCACCTTCCTGTCCGCTCAGGTAAATTGTTGACCCAACAAAAAGTGTTGCACAGTTATTAGCGCGCCATTCAAGTTTATTGGGCCGCTTGCAGTTTTAATTAAAGTCAAAGCAATAAAAAACAGTGCACTCAAGCGCAAATTAACCCGATGCTAATGACACCAGCTGAAAGTTGAGCTTCAATTTGTTTACACAATTTGGCAGTAATTTAAGCTGAAAGCTTACGTCGCGCTTAACTGGCGCTTGCTTGTAGCCTTAATACTTAAAGTTGGGAAATATTCAAAGCTGAATGTTGAGCTTGGTTTACATACTTTGGAAAGTAAAAGCTCCCATTACCCTTTAAATGCGCTTGAATACAACTTTAATATTTAAAGCTTGCAACTTTCTTTATCTTTAATGTAGCTTAATTTAATTAAAGAGCATGTGCCAAGGTTTTAAGTGCATTTCATAGTGTTTTTATGTGCATTTTAAACCGGTAAACTATTTTTTCTGGATTTTTTTGAGTGGTACCTATTGACGTTTAACTAGTTATTAATCTAAACTGATATTTTGAAAGCACATTAAATTAAGCAAAATACAAAAATTGTGAAATTTAATTTCACTTCTAGCTTTAAATAAATTCTGTATAAGCTTTAATCTGCATTTGCTACTAGATATTATTTTGTATCCCACTTTCAGCAGGTGTCATTGCAACTTAATTGAATGTTGCATGCAGAAGTACATATACATAATCAGCATGAAGCCATAAACGCTCACATTTTGGCTGCCGAATGGTTATGACTACGAGTTCATCTGACTGACCAGCAGAAATGTGAGTGTGTGTGTATGTGTGTGAGTGTATGTATGCGTGTGGATAAGCGGGCAGCAAGTGCAAATAATATTATGCTTAACTGCACGCACGCACATGTCCAATGGTCAGGACAACATGTCTGCAGAGTATAGAGTCCGTGGCATGGGTGCACGGCACCGGAAGCGGCTAAGGACAACACGCACAACTTTGCTTGGCCAAACAGCATTAAGTGACCGCACGTACGCACACAGGACGACAGGCAGGACTGCGTGTGCAAGTGTGTGTGTGTGTGCATGTGTGTGTGTTTGCAATTGTAATAACTGTTGTTCCGTATCGTTGTCGTAAGCTGCCTTGTTTGCCACTGTAATTGCCCAGACTGCTTCAGCTCCTGCTGCTGCTTCAGCTCCTGCTGCTCCTCCTGCGGGACCAGGCACTGCCATTGACAAGTTCAATAATGGCCATCGACCGCAGCATCTGGTTTAGTTTGCTGCCTGCTCTTCAAGCTGGCAACTTGGCATTTGGTTTCAGTTTCAGTTTCAGTTGCAGGTAACCCAACGGCAGCCAGCCGAGCGCCTAATTGAATAGCCTCTCCACTGGATGGTGGCTACAGTGAAACATTAACTGACATTTGAGCGAACACTAATCTGCATAGACCATGCAGCTCGGCAGTCTCTGCCAAAAACTTACTTATCGTAGGACAACCAGCTGAAGATAGAGACCACACACACACACACACACACACACACACACACACTCGCACACAGGCACACACACACATTAATATGCTGTTGGCGCACATGTGCAAATCGCTGGCTGCCAAACCCTTATCACATGCACAGAGAGTCCGGGCACAAGGACTGGATTCAGGCAGCCCTTTTGCTGCTTTGCATGCATATCCTGGCCCATTCTCCTAGCTAACTGCATCTATTTAGCATAATTTGTAGTCTTGTTTTTTTCCCCCTTTATTGTTGTCTGCAACGTCTGCGAGTCGAGTGCGCTGCGGGCGAGGAAAATGGGAGCAGGAGAGACTGAAAAACTGGCATCTTGGAAGTCAAGTGTCAAGTGCCCAAGTTGCGCAGTTGGCTGAGGCAAAGACAATGTCTGGCGCTTCTGTTTATGCACATATATTTTCTTTAATCGATTGTTAAAGCAATAATTTCATATTATTGGCGTTAGGAAAATGTTGTTCTATAGCAAAATGATATTAAGTTACACTTTTATAGCTTTAAAACTAAGCAACTGGTTTGGGGAGATTAACAAGTAACTGTACTTTATATGTATACATACATAGGCATACATACAGCACAATAAAGAGCTTCACTCACCCGCTCTCTCTCTCTCTCTCTCTCTCTTCTGACTCTGTGGATCTCTATGCATCAAGTGCATGTGCACGCCATATTGCTTTTATTGAAAAATCTTTCGTATTTTACCGATTGTTAAAAACACCTTCGTGAGCACTGTTCGTGTGGTAGATATACTTAACAAACACAGATTAGTAAATTAACTTAACAAACACATACGACACCAACTTATAACGTTTAACGATAATTAGTTAATTACACTTTGTCAGAAATAACGACCGACGAGCAGAACCAACCGATCGCCAGGACAGACACGCACAAACTAAATTGCCTAATTAAAACCAACAACAACTAGAAGCACACAACTCTTTTAGAAGTTACGCTCACGCCACAGCTAAGATAACGGGATCAAAACCGTTACGGCCAGCAGCGCGCTCTCTCGGTCACAACTCGCTCGCTCTCTGAATTTCTCAATTAAATACACATTTATTTCTCAATAGGTTGATTCCTAATTCATCACTCACATGCACTCTCTCTCTCTCTCTCGCTGACGGCGCGGTGATCCGTGCACAAACATTGCCTTCACTAGGAGTCTGAAAATAAATAAATTATTAATACATTATGCAATATGTTCGACATAAAATTATCAGCAAGAAAAGAAATAGATATTAGATTAAACACATATTTGTAATTATGGGAGGCGTAGGCACTATACTCACTTTGAACTTTCCGCCAAATATTTCGGCATTGTGCAACACTGCCATGGACTGGCCAATGCTGACGTCAGAAATGCACGAAACAGCTGTTTATCGGGCTTGCTTGCCGGTAGTTGTGCACGAAATGTGTCAGAAATTAGTTTGAAAACAAGAATTTTAACTCAAATTTGTGATTGTTAATACTTTAAAAAAATACGCAGTTTTACAGCTATGGTAAGTAGTAAACTAGCTGCGTTTTAAGCTTTTATGACATACTTACAAGTGCTTGCAGGATTTGGACACTATTTGCCCCGATTTAAATGGCTTGACACGCGCCTTAGCCCAGATAGTGCACAAGGACTTAACAAATGGTGAAGTAGTTTAAGTAATGTTTATTAAGCTATGACTTATTCGAGTGTACAGATGAACGCCTGAACAACATACAGCCGAAGTTGGAGCGGGATACGGGCGAGTTCTATTGGAGCGCCCAAAATAAGGAGCAGCAGCAGATGATGGCTTATATCCCCACACAGCACTCCAAGGATCTGGACTTTGAGCTGATAAAAGTGCTGCAGCAGAAGCTGTTAAACTGCATTATCATTGTGGCCATTGTGGATACTACCGGCAACATTCTGTACTATCAAATGACAGAGGGCTTTAAGGAGAAATAGTTTGGGTATTGCGTCCTTAATCTGGTTATTATTCGCAAATCTCTCAAATTTCAAACCCAAAACTTTCTATAGGCCCTTGTCTTTTTAGAGGAAAACTGCATTTATTAAATAGCGATAGATACATTTATTCAAAATCATATCATAGTTCTGCATAAATAACAATTATGTGTATAGCCCCAGGCTTTGGGATGCCCCCAAGTCCAACGACAATAACCGAAACTATCCCAAAAATAAATACCTCGAGGCTGTGCACATAATAAAAATGACAATAGATCTCGCTGCATTCCGGCGCGTGTATAATCATAATTGTAATCAATAATCGTAATATAATTATCTTGACATTATTATAACTTAATTTCAATTATCGAATGCTACAACTTAGATACAAATTAAAATTAGATTAATTATAGCATAGATATCTTAAGTTTATCAACAATCTGATTGCATGCAATTGAGAACATTTTGCTTGGGAATTTCTCAAACATTTCACTGCGGTAATTTTTGTTTTTTTGTTTAAAGCGTGCACCCGCATACAAACAAATCATTTTTATAAAAAATTAAATCAAGTTTTTAAAAAATTGTTAAAAAATGCTCAAAGCAATACAGTTTTTATGTTTGTTGTTTGTTTTTTAAAATACAATAATAAATAACAAGTGTATAAGCATGTATGTATATAATTTAAAAAATAATTAAAATAATATATATTTCAACTCGGGCAATCAGGCTGAGCAGCTAATATAGAGGCGGAAATAAAAAATATACAGTTTTTTGTAATTGTAAATATTTTGTTTTAGGTGCGTACATGTATATATATATATATATAGATGAGCTCTTTAAATATATTTTTATATGTATGTATAATTAATTAAAGTGCATACACAATATTATGACTTATTTCATTTTGTTCTCTCAACATTTTAAATGTGATTTGTATGTTTTATATGAAAATAGGTATGCATGTTTGTGGGTGTGTGTGCTTATGTGTGTTTGTTTGTTTTCTGCCCTAAAACTCATCTACTGGCGCTTGTAAAATAGCTGTGTATACATATCGTTCTCTTCTTTCTCAATTAACATCTATACAAAATATAGAACCTGGCTTTCTTTTCTTTATGTTAACAAAAATCTGTCCAAAAATTCTACAACATTGCATTTAAGGCTTTCGAAAGGTTCGTCAGACTGTTCAATATATTTGATTAGGAAATTATCAACCGAAACAAAATACAATTCACAATTTGTTAACCCCTCCGTGACAATGTTTTGGGTGTATGTATATATAGTAGATATATTAATTTAGCAGCTGTCGTTGACTTGATATAATGTATATATGATCGATATATGTATGTATATGATTGATGATGCAGGTTTACATTTATGTAGAATATTCTAGGCAATTTGGTCAATGCTTCTGAGCAACATGCACAAGGTTTATACAATATATTCACTACAGATATATATCTATATATCGGGTTTCATCCTCGAATTCTCATGTGGCTAAACAACTCGCTGCACATGTTTAAAAGCATTATTCAACTTATTTAACTGAGCTAGGCCCAGGGCCGTTGCATTAAGACTAAGAGAGGCGGTGAAGAAGCATTAACACCACTCGGCTGTGTATGAAAAGTCCTGGAAAAGCAACTGCTCCTCGTCGGTTAAGTGTCGCGGCTCCTTTGGCGGCGTTAGCTGCGCCTTCTCCGACGTAAACTCCTCATCAAAGTTCGACACATCCTCCAAATGGTTCTGCAAGGCATTAATATTATGTGTTTAGATTGTTGTATCAAGCCAGCCAGCCTTTGGCGTTGAGTGGCACAACACTTACAATGGTAGGCACAAATGGAGGCTTGACTTTACGCAGCAGTAAATCGTCCCAAACGATGGAGCGGAAGAACGCCTGCTTCTTGACATCCTCCGCATCGCGTTCCGATGAGCCCAACCGACGCTCCGGATTCTTGCGCAGCAGCTGCAAAGTTTAAGATTGAAAAGTTAGCTAAATGCAACTTGATTATAATCCATTTTTGGCACTCACCCGGCGCATGACGGCTATGGCCTCCAGTGAGAGGAAACGCGGATAGCGCACCTCATCGTTAACAATTGAATCAAAGACTTCCTCTTCATCGTCGCCGGGGAAAGGTGACTGTAAAAGGAATATACAATTGAAAACCTGTTCAATTTCAACATTTGCCAACACACTCACCTCGCCCACCAGCATCTCAAAGATGAGCACACCGAGTCCCCACCAGTCGACAGCGCGTGTATATGACGTCTCGGTTAGCACCTCGGGCGCCAGAAACTCGGGCGTGCCGCAGAATGTGCCGGTGCGATCACCAAAGCCCATGCCCTCCTTGCACAAACCGAAATCGGCAATCTTTACATAGCCATCCGTGTCGAGCAGCAAGTTATCCAGCTTCAGATCCCGATAGATGATCTTGTTCTCGTGCAGATACTGCAGACCCAGCACCACGCACGCCGCATAGAACACAGCTCGCGGCTCCAAAAATACATCTGTGTGGATGTGCATCATCAGATCACCGCCGGCGGCGTATTCCATAACAAAGCAGACGTGTTGCTAAAAGCAATAGAGGTTTAATTATAGATGAATTATAATTTCAGCTTAACACTTACCTCGGTCTGGAAACACGAATACAAATTGACTAAGAACGGATGCCGCATGGCATTGGCCACCTCAAAGATGCGCTTCTCGCTGAGCAGCGACTCCACCTCGTCGCGGGCGATTATGTCGCCCTTCTTGAGCGCCTTGATGGCATAGTACTGATTGTTGCTGCGCAGCTGCGACAATATCACCTTGCCAAAGTGCCCACGGCCCAGCACGCTCAACAGCCGGAAATTGTCCATGGACAACATGCCAGCATTTGGTGGCGCTTGACCAGCACGCAGCGCCTCATAGCCGGCTGTCTCGCGATACTGCAGGCCACGTGCCACATTCCGCCGGCCGCTGGTGGAGGCGCCCGCTGCCGTGGCCTTGGCTACATTCAGCTCATATTGATTGGCATAGATGGGTTGTTGTTGTTGTTGCTGCTGCTGCTGCTGTTGTTGTTGCTTGTCCTGGCGCTGAGCGGGCTGCGGGAATTGTGGTGGAGCGACGGCCGCAGCGCTGTTGCCATAAATTGTGGGCGTGGGCGGCTCCTGTATAATGGGCGAGGACTGCACATAGGCCAACTGCTGCTGCTGTGTGCCCACATAGAGCTTGCCCAGCTGCGGTATGACCTATACGAACATGAGGATTGGTTAATGCAATTGTAAAGCTTCATTTATTTATAGTTAGTTAGTTTTTTGTGCAACTGCAAAAGCTCTGAATAATCGCTGTAGATGGGCAACTTTTACCTCGTCGAGCGGTTGAACAGACTCAACGCTTTCTATTAAAACACTTTCGATAGCTATAGGCTCCGCTGTGGCATCCTCTATGAGGCAGCTGCCGCTGCTGTTGCTGTTGCTGCTGGATGTTGGTGCCGCTTCAAGGGGTTCGATGGTTATGTGTACAAGATTGATTTTTGCCTGCAAGAGTTTTGTGTTTTATTTTGTTTAGAGTAGGAGAAGCCAAACACGACTGAAAACAAACAACACATACAGGTGCGGGGCTTGTTGTTGTTGCTGTCAGCACCAGCTGTTGCAGCGGCCTGGCCAAGGCCAATTGATGAAATTGATGTGAATGTTGTTGTTGTTGCTGCTGTTGCTGCTGCTGCTGCAGCGCACACACCTGCCGCACCAGCTGCGCAAATGCCTGAAGTGTTGGCAATAACATTATGGCGCTTCCACCATAACGACAAATTGTTCGATTTGCGGCGCTTGGCTAACAACAACTGAATAAGGCAAAACAACGGGTGGCCAAAGTCATGACCAGAGAGGCCAAAGCAATTTTTTTGGACACCTTTTTGCGTCGCCAAAGGTCTAAAAATGTGCTAAGTACTATGTATAGAGCATATATATATACATATATATACTATTTTGCAACGTGAATTGGCATTAAGAAAAAAAGAACATAATAATAATAATAAAAGAAAATAAGACGGACAAAACTCTGACGTTTCGCTTAGGTGCAATATGTGAGGGCAACACAGGGTGACAAACATATACAGGGTGACACTGTGAGGTAAGTTAGAATATAAAAGACATTTGCTGGCACGTGAAATGATTGTTTGTTGTTCCCATTCGAATGGCTCAATATAAACTTGTCTATTTCAAGCACTTAAATCGTCTCATTTAACATTTCATTTTGCACACGTTATTTATTTATGATTTGTCGCGGGTTCCTGCTCTTAAATTGTCAAATTTATACGCGACACAGATTTTGGCTAGATTTCAAATGTTCACTCCATGCACCCTATGCAAGGGCATATCAGCTAAGTGAGTGCATTTGACGCTTATCTATCAGCTGTCTATTAAAGCAAGAACTGTTAACTCAACTTCCATATAAAACCTTAGTTAAATGTGTTTGTAAAATTGTCCTTGTATTAATTATATTCATGCAGTAAGGGACTCGAAAAAAAAGAGTTTCTGTTGTTTAAAATCGGACTGAACTCATTTTATTCAGAGCGCAACATTTTTTCCTTTTGGCGCTGCAGCTTCTTCTTGGATAGCTTCTTCTTCGTGGGCTCATCAGCGGCGACCTTCGCAACGACCTCTTCCTTCTCGGTCAGGATGACCTCGACGTGGCACGGCGACGACATGTAGGGATTGATGCGACCATGGGCACGATACATGCGACGACGTTGGCACTGAGCGCGATTCACCTGAATGTGCTCAACGACCAGGCGATCGGCATCGAGTCCTTTGTAATCGGCATTAGCTTCCGCGTTGCGCAGCAGCTGCAACAGAAACTCAGCCGACTTCTTGGGCCAGCGACCCTGCGTGGTCTTCCACTGCTTGGCCTGGGCGCAACGGCTGACGCCGCCAGTGGCACGGCGGAAGGGCACGCACTCCTTCTGCTCCATGACGGCTTTGAGGAAGCGCTGGGCACGACGCAGCGGCATTCGCTTGATGGCCTGGGCGGTCTCGTAGGTGTTCTTGAAATGGACACGTAGATTGGGACCACGTGCCTTGCACGACTTGGTGGCGTTGTCTGGTTCACGCGAGTAACGACCCATTTTTTTAATAGCTCCTTTAACGTTTACGAATTGGAAGTAAGAGACTTCACCCTCTGAGGAGTTCTTTTATAGCTTTTCTTGTGATATTTTTTGCAGAGCCTGCTTGACAACTGTAATATCTAGATGTCAGAAGAGTGGTCACCTTTACAGTAAAACTCTAACAGAAAAGGTTGGTCTTCTAACAGCTGTTAATCTAATGTCCTAGCAAGTTATTTTTTATTAAAAAGCACCTGACAATTGTTAACAGTATAATTCGCCGTAAAGAAGTCAAAAAGTCGATGAAAATATCGCAAGTATCGATGTTTTTGTGACTATCACTTGAACGATTCTTTAAAGTAGTATGTCAAACACTTTCTATGCAATATTCAGAGCTTTCGTTGGGTTAGATTAATAATAGAAATAAACTTAATTTAACAAATTTCTACAGTTAAAGCTGCGCTTTTCCTCTGGCGCCTAGTTAGCTGCATTATTTTATAATTACATGAACATGGCAAGTGCTGTTAGTTAAACTAAATGTGCAAGTGCTGTTAAAGCTGTGTAATGTTCAATACTGTTAATTTACATGTAAATGTAAAGTGTTATGTAAATAACACTCACTGTTGTGTTGCTGTTAATGCGCCGTTGTATTAACATAACATAGCGCTCAGTGTTGTGTGTGAGTGAGTGCATTTATGCACACGAATAAAAGTTTGCGTTAAGGCGAATTTAGGGTGAATGCAGGAAGTTTGACAACAGATAAAGCTGAAGTAGCTGTCAAAGGGACATTAACAGTAACAGTAACAGTAACAGTAACAGTGACAATAACAGAACACCAACAACATGAATGATAAATTAGTATTGGACTGAAATAACAGACAAAAAACGAAACCATAAACCAAACCATAGCCGAAAAATTAAACAGGATATCAAATGAAAAAACCTCCTAACCTCCACACAGAAACGATCGCCGGCACTGGAACTGCGGCTGGACTGCAGTCCACCGCTGTACAAATACTCATCGTCATCCTCGGGATACTCAACCAGTGGCGAGGAGGGCATGGTCTCCTCATCATCCGCACGCCGGCCCCCAACGAGCACCACCGGCGGCAGCGTCAGCACTGGACGATGCATTTGCTGCTCCACCGCCGAGGTGGAACCCCTTGACGGAGTTGGCGACTGTTTGGGCACAGCCGAAACAGCTGGAGGCGACTTCTCAGGCAGCTGGAACTGAAACGGGTTGCGTATTGGTAAGGAAAGCTCGCTTGCGCTTAGCCTGTGCTGCTGCTGGTCATGGTAAGTATGGCGACTGGCGGGCGGCAGAACATTGGTGGTTAGTTCAGGTTCAGGTTCAGGTTCGGGTACGGGTTCAGGGGGCGCTGGCGGCGACTCTTGCATGGGCATTACGGTCTGTATCTGCACGATCTGCAGCGTTGCCGTGCGATCCAAGGAATTGGTCAGGCGCGGCTGCTGTCTGCCCGGCGGCAGCTGATCCATTTGCTGTTGCTCCCGCTGCTGTTGCAGCTTCTCGAGCAGCTCCTGTTCGAGCTGCAGCTGCTCCATGGGCCAGCCGGGCGATTGTTGGGTGTGCAGCAGGCGGCGCAGCGTGTTTGGATGTGATTCCATTTCGGAAAGGAAGTCAAATTCATGCAACGCGTCCTGCAACTGTCGGCGATTAACGGCATCATGACAGGACACACACACGGGCACGCGCACGCGCAGTCAGGCAAAGCATTAAGCAACAGCAGGCAAGCGGAAGAGAGTGGAAGAAAGCAGACAAAGAAGTGGGAAGGATAAGCTCACGACTGTTGATAAGAAGTTGAAAGAGAGGCGACAGACAAGAGAATCACCAAGAATCACAAGAAACCCCCACAAAAATATGTGGGCGACATGAGGCAGAAGAGAAAGCAAGACACAAGAGAGAGAGTTGAATGATGATGTAGAAAGTTGAAGAGATGAAAAGAAATGATGCAAAGAAAGAGCAAGAAATAGATTGCGACTTTGATCAAGAGGAACAGAGGGGTGGAGAGAGAGAGAGAGAGAGAGAGAGAGGGGGGGGGGGGGGGGGGGAGAGAGGGAACTAAGCGTGGGCAATATGAGGAGGGGTTTGGGATATTATGATGTTCTAAGGCTTAGATAGCACTCTGATTTTGGGAACTAGTTCTAAAGAACTACATCTAATGAATAAAAAAACCTTTTGACCAGAGGGGAGCTTAGCTTTTGATAAACCAAGATGTTCCTTTGCATTTAGATAGCACTGAGATTTTGTAAGCTAGTTCAAAAGAACTAAAATAAACGAAAAGTCAACTGCTAAACTACGAAGTATCTAGCTCTGAACGCAGCAGGACTATCATGAGTTCTCTTAGCTTATTTCAACTAGTTCAAAATGTAGCTGAAAAGTGAACTTAAGCAAGCAAATAATATGCAACCTTTGAGTCGGTAAACCAACTAATTTTATTTAAAATAGAACAATATTGTTATAGTGTTATGCAAAACAGGCAAACAGATTTATGAAACTAGTTCGAAATTTGGCTATAATATTGTTTATAGATTTCGATGAGGCGAACAATGCATAAATTATTTTCGATTTTTGTTCAGATGACCAACTATATATAGATCAACAACGAACTTAAGCTAATCAAAAGCTTAAAAAAGTTTATAAGTTCTGGAACTAGTTCAAAGCAATGTTTAAAGCAGAGATTGAGGCTAGCTCATATAAAATCTTCCCTACCTAGGTCAAAAATAACAATAAAGACCTGCGACAAGGCTCTAATTGTTTAACTTATTAAAATGAAATAGTTGACTTTTATTGTTTTTAAAAAACCTACTCGCTTTAAAAGGTAATGATAACGAACAGGAACAGACAGAAACATATAGTTAATCATATTTGGATACCAAATTATGAATATCAGCAGTCAATTTAGGGTCAATGTGGGGTTCTGTTCTGTATGGAGTTTTGGTTGCTAATCAGATGATATATGTCTATATATGTACAGTTACAAAATCCAACACCAATGCGAATATGACCAAACACAGGCTATATAGACATGGGATGGGCTATACATGAGTGTGGATAATTATACAGAATGAGGCAGCTCTGGCAGAGGCACAAAGATCAAAACAGCTACAGAATTACAGCTATATAGGTATCCAAATATATATATAAATATATTTAGATATATATATATATATTTATATGTATAGTAGGAGTGTGTATATATGTATAGGTAAGGAAGGGCTTTGCTATACAGTTGCCAGGCATAGAGTATTAAGCTGCTTACCTCCTGGTCCAGCACTGGGGTGACAGACTTCAGCACGGGCGGCGGCGGCGGCGCTGTGGTGGGCGCGGCAGTACGTCCGGGCGGCGTCTTGCCGGGCATTTGCAGGCTTAGCGAATTGGGTCTAGCTGCATTGGGTGCAATGACGCTGCTCGACGCTGGCTGTGGCGGCGGCGGCGTCTCTGGCGGCAGCACACTAATGCCCTGCATGTGCATGGAGAGCGGACGCAGGCCGCTCAAGCCGCTAGCTGCGGGATCCGGATACTCGCCAGGCGTCTCGACGTGCTCGTGCAGACCGGCATCCGGATCGAATTCCATGTTCTGGGCCTGTTCGCCCGGCGAATACGGTTCAGGCTCGACGGCCAGCGCATCTGAGGAGGGCGTGCGCGATATGGGCGACTCAGAGCCTCGCGAGGCGGCACTGCTGGGCAACGGCGAGGAGGCGCGACCAGTGATAGCAGCTGCATTGCCAGTGCCCATGTGTACATGATTGGGTGCATTGCGCTTGAGCAAACGGCCCCAGGTGGCCACATTGATGTTCATTTGCTTGGCGCGCGGTATATTCTTGGCCTGCTGGCGATTGAAGATCATGCGCTGGCGTCGCAGCTTGGGCTTTTGCGAGATCATCGGATTAAGAAATTTGATCTCGGCAAAGAGCAAGCCCTGCGGCTCCAGCTGCAGCGCCATGCCGTGACGCACATCGTCAATGAACTCCTCCAGGCGCAGCACCTTCACAGCGCACAGGGAGCGCCAGTCGCGCCAATAGACGCCAATCTCCAGCTCCCGGGAGCGGTCTAGATCGATGGAGAAGCGCTGATCCCAGGCCTGCTGTGAGCAGGGCTTCCAGGAGGTCTGTCCCACGGTAATGTTGTCCAGCTTAATGGCAGCCATAATTTCAATCGATGTCTCATCCTTCACCGAATAGCTCTTCGAGCTGCTGCGCGAGGTGACGCCCTTGACAAAGCTGCGCAGATCACCCGGACTGGAGCTATTGTCTTTGTCGCGACGCGAGCGCCCAGGCACATCCTCCAACAGATCCTGACAGCCCATTAGACGCACCTCCAGCTTGCCCGTCACACTGGCGCAGCGGCCCAGCGATGATACTGATTGATACGACTTGCCACCGAGCAGGCCGCCCGGCCCAGACTGCAGCGATGTGTAGTGCACAGGCGCCGGCGATGTCGACTGCTGCACAATTTGCAGCTCCTTCTTGAGCAGCTGGGCGGTGGGCGAGTCCGTGGGCAGCTCCTGGCGTCGCAGCTCCAAGGAGTAGCGTAAGAGATCAAGTTTACGCGATGATTCCGACAAACGGCCGTGCGCCTGCAAAATAGAAATACAATTTTCAATTTATTAGATATTTTATTGTTAAGCTTTTCTTGAGAATAAAAACAATATCATGTTTACACGCTACTTTATTTATTTCTTCATTACTTTAATATAAAACATATAAACTGATTCAGCGCACATTTATGTTTGTCTGAGGAACATTTGTGAACAATCTTTAACTTAAGTCTCTATTTCAAGGTAGGATTCGATCGGATTGGGTGGCGTAGATTAAGGGGCATAAGAACTTATGCAGAGTGTTAAATGCAAGCAAAAAAAATAATAAATAAATAAATATAGTTAACAAATTACTAAACTCGATTATAACCGAAGTTTATAGACCATGGCAGAGACTTTTTAATAAGCTATTAAAAACGCGAATAAAAAAAGCTATAAATATTTTTTGAAAAATATCTACAAAATCTTTGAGGAAAATGTATGGAAGAGGATCAAAGTCCACTTATAAAGCTTGAAATTAAATTGTATGTGTTATCTTTTGATTCATAAAATCTAGTTGAGAAATTCCTTAACATAAGTACTTCACAAAAAATGTTTAAAATGCAAAAGTATCAAAATATCAGAATATTTATTAAAGTTATTTATTTAATTATGTATATATAAAAAAAAAAATGAATTTGTTTTTGTCCTTCGATTGAGAAACTTGTTACTGCATTTAGAGAAATCAAACGGATTCGAGGGATTTCCTATACTTTCTTTATGTGAAGAAGAAGTTATAGAACAACTTTCATTAACTTTTTCAACTTAAGTTTCTCTATCCCATTAATTCTTTTCTAAATCAAGTTATTCTAGTTATCGTTTCACAAAGAATTCTGATTAACTCACAAGCAGACGTACGCATTATTAATCTTCCATAACATATTTCAGGCTCTGCCATGGTTTGCTTTTAAACATTCAATTCCTAAAGCTACTCCAACTATGGCTGCGGTCGTCGCAGCATTGGGCGCTCCCCCAAAGAGAAGGCGCGTCCGCGCAGCCGGAAACGTTCGGCCAGCCAGCGCTGGCAGCTCTCGCATTGGCAGTTGGGATTCTTGGTGGGTCCCACGTGATGGCCCGGCTTGCGCATGGCAACCACATTGCCGAAGCGACGCGCCTTCTCCAGATGCTCGTGCGTGTAGCCAGAGACAACGGTGGAGGTCTCGCTGGCCAAGCTCGGACTATCGCGTGAGATCTGAAAGCGACGCGCGGGCAGCGGCGAGGGCGCCACGGAGTGCCCAAAGGTGGTGGCCGATGTGGTGCTGGGTGGTGCCTCGCTGCCGCAGCGCAGCACGGTGCTGGCCGTCGAAAGCAGCTGCGGTGAGCTGCGCTCCGAGGAGGGCGAACCAGGCGCTGCCTGTACGCTGAGATTATCGCGCGCCTCGCTCTTCCAACGATAGCCGGGATGCAGGCGCCTGAATGGATCCATAGCCGCGGCCGCAGCAGGTGCAGCTATAACTGGCGCCGACTGTGGCGGCTCAGGACTTGCGGGCGGACCAAAGAACTGCAGAAAACCAGGTCGGTTACGTGCAGTATGCGACAGCTGCTGCAGCTGCCGGCCTGGATAGGTATTGTAGCCAAGATTGCTCTCCGAGAAGCCATCCGATTCGGAGGGCAGCGTACCGCTGCGCTGGAACGAGCCACGCTGCGAATGCACCTCTGTTATGGTCGTCAATGGATGCGGATGCGGCGAGGTGGAACCCGGCGGCATTGCCTGCACCTGCTGCTGCTGCTGCTGTTGGTGATGCTGTGGCAGCTGCTCTGCGGAGTGTTGCCGTGACCAGAGCCGCTCCATTTGCCGGATGCGCACGCGATCCAGCGAGTTCTCATAGTCAAAGCTGTCGGATTTGGTGAGCGCTGCAAATGCAGCATGGCCGGACGTATCCACCTCATCTGTGTCCTTCCACGAGGTGTCCACACAGTCGCCAGCCAAGACGCTGGACACGCTGCTGCACGTGGCATCGCGCGCCATGGTCGAGCGTGAGGAATTGGGATACGCGCCGCTGCTTTGTGTCTCATCGCTCGGCTGGCGCATATATTTCTGACGCAGATTCGCCAGCTTGGCGGCACGCTGATCCCCGATGTGCTTGCGGAACAGCAGCTGCTTGGACTCACTGACCTCCTCAACGGTGCTGCATTTGGTTATGGCATGCCCCAAATTGAGCTTCTGCTGTTGCTGCTGCTTCGCGGATGGCAGCGGCGACTTCTGTGCCAGGCGACGCGGCAGGGCGGCGCCCGAGATGCGCTGATGCCGCAGCAGCATCTGCTCGTTGTCCAGCACCGTTTGCGGCGTCGAATTAGAGTCCAGATCGTACATATGATGCTCCTTGTTGTTGTCCGAATCGGAGCTGGAGGCCTCGGCATCCGCCTGTTCCTCATCCTCCTCGGAGCCCGTGCAATAGACATCAATGTGCACGGTGCGCGGCTTTTTCTCGCCCAGATTGGGCAGTCGGGGCGTCGCCTGAGACGTAGCCTGAGACAGCGGCGGTATGCGCGACATCGAGGCCGACTTGAATGTGGACGAGGGCGTTACAGGCGTGGGCGTGGGCGAGTAGGTTGGCTGCAATATGACGCTGATGAGTCACACAAGATTTGGGCTATACGGGCTCTCGCTTACCACATAGGTGTTCGCCTCCTCCGCATGACGCCTGTTGGCAAAGTTCATGAGCCCCTCTGTCGTGGCGCGTCGCTGTTCATAGGCGGGCCGACGCCGCTGTCGCTCCTCCGAGTCGCTGGTCTGTGAGCAGGCATCGCGCAGCTGCTGCGCATGCACCTTGCTGTGATAGACAAAGGGCTCATTGAGTGCCGCCTCCAGCTGTTGCTGCTGCGGCAGAAAATCCGCCACGGCAGAAACGACAATGTTGCAGGTGCTGCGGCAACGCGTGCCGCACATCTGAGCCGTAACCCCGCCGCCGGGCGTCGCCTCACCCGTTGGCTGTATGTGTCGCGAGGCCTGCGGACTGCCAAAAGCCGAATCCGCATAGGTTGTGGCCGAGGAATTGGTGCTGCGAAAGCTTGTCGCAGCCGTTGCCTACGATTTGTTTTCGTTAACTTTTGCCTCAATTTATTAATTCAACAAAAATTTCAATTAGCAGCTTACCTTCTCCGGCTCTGTTTCGTGCTCCTCCGCGGTTGGCGTGCACAGCTTGTATACCACTCGCACCGGATGCAGTGGCTCCTGTGCGCTAAACTCCCGCTGCACTGGCTCACCGCCCGCCCGCGCGAATGTCAGCTGTGCACGCACTGTCCACTCGGCGGTCAGCTCATGAGGCAACGGCGAGGGCAGCGGCTGCGAGGGCTGTTCACCCTCCGCTCCGCGATTGATGCTGCTGCTCATGATGCTGGCCCACCTTTTAGGCACACATGTTTTCTTATTTCACGTTGCCTCAAGGTACCGCTCAATTTCTATATACAACACACGATCTGCACAGATACGCGGCATATAGTTTTTATAATTTTTTATATATTCTTCTAGATTAAGCTAAAAATACAACACAAATTGTTGCTCTTGATAGTTTGGCAAACATACACGCACACGCACACATACAACAACATTGCGAGGGCGGTTCCATAGAAGGTAAACTTTTCATAAATCCATTTTTTAATAATCCCGAATCATATTGATTTTCATTAATATCCGTAAGATCTAGGCTTCAGCTGATATATTTAATTGCTTTCTTTATAATAAACTCTAAGATCTATAATAGAAAAACTGACATACTTCATCCCTACATATGAAAAATTTGCCGAACTTATATATTTTCAAACAGTTCGATTAATTTCTTACAGATAATTAAAATCCATTTTTTATTATATTTTGCTAGCTCAACGATTAAACTCTTTTTACAAGTTCCATGCTTTGGAAACTCTCAAGCTTTGGCAAAGAAAAAGATGAAATATTTAATAATCTGATCATTTCTGACGGCTAATTAAAATCTAAAAGGAAAAAATGCATATTTCGAGTTTTAAAAATAAACATCATAGACAATTTCTAGCATAAAATTTATGGTTCCTAATAATTGGCTGCATATGACGTACATATTGCTAGCTGAATCATCAAATTCGAAATAAACGAAAAACGAGAAAAACGAATTTTCAATTTTCAATCAAAAGACGAAAAAAAGCAGCAAAAATTGTTGAATTTAATGAGCAAAAAGCAAATTTAATTTTTTGTAATTGAAACGATTGAAAAGTATTTGCCAAATCTTAAAAACTGAAAACTGAAAGCTTGTTCTAAACTAAAATTCTGTAAGAAACCTAAATGCTTCTTGAATCTTTTACAACTTAATAGTTTTTTGTTTCATATATTTCTATTTATTTAATTATATTCTTCTTAAGGACACGTATTTCTCTCTTTAATTAATTTGTATTTAATTTTTAATGCCGCCCTCGTTTCGTGGGCGATTTATATTCTTATTTGTGGCCTTTTGATACGTTTTATTATGATCTTTTATTCATTTTTGTTCTTATTTCTTGATTTTTATTTTAATTTTTTATTTTTAGCTTCAATCAGCCACGCACAAAAACACTTTCGATTTTATATATGTTGTTGTTTATTTTTTTTTCTTTCTTTTTTCCACTTGGCATGTAAAATTGTGTTTCTAATTTTATGTGCATTTATTTATAAATTCTCTCGCCGTTTATTGTTGCTGTATTTGTTGTTGTAAAATACTAAAAATCGCAAGATGACCCCAAAAGCCAAATCGCGTTAACCACGCACGAAAATAAAATGCAGCTCGCAAACAAGGCAAAAAAAAAATACAAATTTAAAAAGAAAAAAAAAATTACGCAATTTTTTTTTTGAATGGGAATACAAAAAAAAGAAGTTAAAAAACTTGAAACACGCTGCGTATGCGTAATGTTTCTTTTTAATGCCTGGAATTCGAGTGACGTCGTGTGTGTGTGTTTGTGTGTGTGTGTGTGCTGCTTATGGGTGTGCGTGTGTTAAGCGTTTATAGTTTATGCGACGATCTCTTTTAATTACATATGCATAAAGTTTTAAACCGACAAAAAAAATATGCACCAAAAGTGCCGCAAACCAAGAAAAATAATTAAAAATTATTTTAAACAAAATTAAATAAAAAATAAAAAACGACACGCGGCAAACAAAAAGAAAGCAAACGCAACAACACGCGCACGTAGCGGCAACAGAACTCAAACTGAAATGCGTGAAAATTCGCTAGAGAAACAATTTTTCCGCTTTCAAACGGGCAGCAGGCAGAACGCACACAGAATTTGGCTGCGCTCTCTTCACGAATATATATATATATATATATACATATGTACATACATGAAACTATATAGATATAGATCGTAGAAACTCTATATGCATATATGTGCTCAGCATAGTTCTATTAATGTTTAACAAACACACGAAAGCGAGCAAAGGGCATTTGGCTGTTGCCTTTGTTTATCGCCCAGGAAACATTCGGAGAAACATCTGTCGACCGTTTGGACCCCAACGCATGCCCCCCATGCATGCATCTGTTGTTGTCAAAAACTGCACTTCAGCCAGAATTTTCATGCCGCCCACCCTCGCTCGGTCGCATCATAAAACAAATAAATACGCACTGCAAATAGAATGGAACACGTATGCTCTATATAGGCCGGCCACATTCGCTGTTGTTATTATTTTTTTTTTTTTTTTGTACATATTATCCAATAGGGGCAGCTTCTATTGGAGTCAAAAAATAAAGAAGTAAACGCAAAGAAAACAAGCCACAACATCAGCTGTACGAATAAATCACAAACACGGACAAGACATTCCATTTGTTCACGCGACAGGAAGTCGGAAACATTGGGAAATAAATTAGGTGGGATCGTGAAGAAACTGTCGAAGCTTGAATACTCTAGGAAATGTATTGGAACAGAGTACATAAAGAAGGCTAAGTACTTTAAATGCTCATAAATAGCTGGAAATCCCAATTAAAACTGATAAATAGATGAACGGACAGTGGCGAATGCCAATAAACTCTCTTCAACTTGGTTAACAGTGTATAATACTAATGGCCCAGCTTAAGCAAACCCACATGCCTGCAACTAAATTCTATATTATTTTACCTTTCACCCAAACCGATAGGAAAACGCATATACCCTCTCTACACTTACCGTAGGGCCTCTTGGCCTCCATGGCCAAATGTCATTTTGAAATACTGTGCATATTTTCGGGCATATTTTGCAAGCGAACTCGCCAGCAAATTAATGAGGCGACAGTTCGCACTTAAAAGACACACACAAAAGCAAGCTAGTGCGATTTTCAACGCCACGCCGAAAATAAATACCCTTGCAGACAAGTGGCTAAGTAACGATTTTGTGCGAAAGCCTAATTTCCGACTAATTGTTCTTATGGCAGCTATATGGCATAGTATTGCAGTTCGGCATATATGGAGAATTGCTAGCATTGCATATTTGCTAACATAAACTTGGGAAATAGAAAAATGTTCAATACAAAACTGAATTTTCTAACAGATCTTCAATTCTTCCTTTAGAGAATATAGTAGACGGATATTGATTAAATCCCGCAAATGACTAGTTTAGTCAAAAACTTACGTCATCTTCATGACATTCTTAAAGGTTCATTCCGGTCGATTCCGACTTGCACTTGTACTCTCCAATAGAAAGACGTATCTATGCAGATTTTCATGAGAAAAGTATTAAGAATAAGAAACTAGTTAGCACAGAAGTGCCTCGCTTATTGATACTGATCAGGAATATATATGCTTTATGGGGTCGGATACGCCCCAATTTATGCGTTACGCATTTCATTGTACAGAGAGTATAAAAAGCATAAAGCACGACAAAAGGAGGGCAGGGAAAAATTGAAATATTTTCAACAGCCGCGTAATTAGCCTCGTTTTGTTTTTTTCTGTTTTTGTTATTTTTTTATGCTTGGGCTGGTGCGCATTGCCTTAAGGCAAACGGCGCATATACGCAACGCATGTGCACATGAATCATACGCCGTGTGGCACACGCCACAAATGTCGACTCTCTTTCTCTCTCTCACTCTCACTCACTCTCTTTTAACTGGGGGCAGGCCGAGCGTATGGCCCGCCCGTTCGCGCGCGCACCCGCTTACCTGGCCCGCGGCCAGCTCTAAGAATTTAGGTTAATCTAATTAACGCTAAGTAGCAGAAAGGTAAAATATAAAAAAAATCTGTCGCCCACTCACCTCCTGCAGCGCCTTCTTGTCTGGCGCACGATTCGCCGTCTGCAGCGTGCGTATGACATTCTTGGCTCCATCAACGACAGCTGCCTCGATGCGCAGCCGATGACGCAGCTCCTCGATGCGCTCCTCCAGCGTTGTCTCCAGGCTCTGCGGCTGCATGCTGCCGCCGCCGATGCCGCTGCCGCCGCCCGCTATCAGGACACCATGCTCATCTGTTAGCTGGAGCGCGGCCTTTAGGCGATCCGCCTGCTCGCGATTTTGTTTGACTTTGATGATGCGCAAGCGCAAAAACTCAATCTTGGCTTTGGAGTCCGCCAGCATTTGGTGCGCCTCGGCGAGCAGCTTCTTGTCGCAGCCAATGCCCAGCGATTGTATCATATTCTCGGCGCCCGTCTTCACCTTCATCTCGATCTGCAGCTGCTTCTCCAGCGAGGCCAGCACCTTGTCATTGGCTGTCGCCGGTCCACCGCCGCCGGCCATCGCATTGTTCCCGCCCAAGCCGCCAACAGCTCCGGCGAGCTGGGCAGCGCCGCTGCCATCAAGGCTGAAGGCAATCGATTCTGTAAACATGAAGCAAAATATTTAAAATGAGTTTTTTTTTTTTGGATTTTATTGGAAAGTGTAGCATTATAAACATGTGAATACCCTGTAGTTGGGGGCCATAAGCGGGTATATTGACTGACAGCATAGCCAAAGTCCATCAGAAATACAAAGCTTATGAATATGTATGGCACTTTGTTCTAATATATACCCTGTAGTTGGGTGCATTAGAAGCAATGGTCGGTACGAAAGGGCACATTTATAAGGGGTAAGAGCGGTGGGTATATCGTGCTGGGACGCAACAGCTGAGCTTTATTCAAATAATAAACACGCTTAATAGGTGCATACTCTATAATTAGCTGGCTTAAGAGTGTGTTTTGGACTAGAACGGAGTTTCACTTACTCATATCATGGCTTATGCTTCACATTCAGGTTCTGGTTACAGGGTATCTTTTAGGCCAATATCTTTTCCTAGTTACAGCGTATCTTACGGCTTTGTTTATGACTTTCTTGCCTTAATTTAACAACACTCTGCTTTTAATAGTTGCCCTTGACTTCAATTTTGCCCACAGGTCAGCTTCTTAAGGGGGGTCAAATCGTTTAACCTAATGCCACATTTAGCCACACGCTGTCAAAGTTCAAGGGTCACTTAAGCCTCCACACGTCTATTACTGCGATGAATGCGGAACAACGTCCACAGGTCGCCCCGCTTGACTGACAGCTGCGGACACCCACGTGCGCCATTTGACACGCTTTATTTACAGTTTAATCTGATTGCACACGACCACTTGCATTAAACTGCAGCAAAAGGGGGGGCGGATGGGGTGGAAGCGGATGCTATGCAACAGTTGTGGCAAGCTCGTGAAATGACAAGGTGACATGCGAAACATGAATACAAGTTGTGTGCAGCTTTTATGAGAACTAGAATAATGGAATAAAAAATAAAGAATACAATTTTGATGTCTATTGTTTTAGATAAACATATAAACGAATTAAATGGAGGTATTCATACAAATCTATAACAAATCAAAACAGATAGGAACACTTTTAGAATATTTCCTGATCTAATCATTTATCAAGTTTCGTACCAAATACATTAGTTATATATACAAAGGCTGTTAATAGATATCATATATTGCTTCATATCTCTACTGATTCATATAAGTCCTGATCAGAGTTACTGAAGATGAACATGTTAATTCCCAGATAGAACCGCACGGCTTTTTATTCCTGAAGAGCAGTTGCTGTCATTTGTTGTGAAAGTCTAAATAAATACTTAGTATGAGATTGAAGCGAAGTATCGCTGTAGAATAAGCAATATCGATATTGGACTTGTAAAGAAAGCATCGATACTACAAGCATCGATACTAGACTGACTTTTGAGCATGCGGTCAAAGTGAATGGATTGTCGAGTGTTGGGCTAAAGATAAAAAGATAAAATAATAAATACACTTTAAATACGTCTTTTTTATATGCCAATCAAATGATATCATATTCAAATAGTAGAAACATTTGTTTTACTCAGTATTCCTTAGATGTTTCTTAAATGTTAAAAGACATCCATTTTAAACAAAATAAATAGCGCGTAGAATTTTCCCATAGAGTTTATCAAGCGTAATCTACATTCTATCAAAAAATTTCAGCTCAACTCGAATGCTAATTTATGCTGCACGAACAGCACATAAACCAAAACAAAAAACCAGCTAAGATATCTTTGTTGCACTTTGCTGGCAGCTGCTGTCAAACATGTCAATCAATTGAGCAGATGTTAACCCATGAAGCTTTCAACAGATGCTAAAGATCTTCACGACGCAGTTGATGATGATAAAGATAATGATGATGTTGAAATCTACCGAGATGCATGCCGCTGGCTGCAGCTGGTGGCATGAACCAAACACGGAAGCAGATAGAACTGCGATACAGTAGAACAAACCCGAAGCGCTGAGCAGTCACATTCAGCTAAATATTTTACGACACTTGTGTCAATAGTTGAAAAGAAAATAAAATAAATATAAGCCTGCTCTAGTTGGGAGTGCTCCACTAGAAAAAAACCGAAATCAAAAGATCTGATTGGAATAATTCGCTTGAAAATGTGGGAGAATAAAGCGTATAACTATCTTCAGGAACATATACCTAGGGCACATATATGTTTCCAATTTTTATTTATTGATTTGCGAAAAAATATAAAATGAGATACTCTGAGATATTGAGATAAACATTTGTATGCACATAAAGATACGTCTATGCCTCTTCTAGGGCTTACACACTTTCATATACCCTCTCTGCCATTAATTTCTGATAAGTACAGGGTATGGCACAATAAAAATAACCTGACACTAAGCAAGTGTTTTGTTATAGATACCAGCTCAAACGATAAACGCACAAGTATTTCGCGCCTGGGTAATGTAAGAGAACACGCAAAGCGCGACAAAGATACAAATGTATATAGATAGATGCATAACGAGACAGTTGACAGGTTTGCGTGACAAACGCTCGTAAAACGATACTTAAAGTCACTTTTGAGATACTTTTAACGATTTTCTTTTTTAGGGGCAAAAAAATGAAGTAAAAGAAGCAACAGTTAGGAAAGTTGGTACGAGTTACGCAATCTTAAGTTGAGCAATCTTTTTGTGCTTACCTTGACCATTGCTATTGACCGCCGTATTGGCGGATGTTAGCAGTATTTGACTTTCGAGTTCCTGCAGCTCCGACTTGAGCTCGGCCAGTTTGCTTTTGCTCTTCTTGACCAGCACGGCGACATCGCTGAGCGAACGTCGATCCTTGGCGACCTCGCGCAGCTTTTCGGCGCCCTCTTTAATCTTCAGCTCTTTGCGTATCTCGCGCCGTATGGCCTCCTTGATCTCCTCGAGGCGTATGGACATACAGCTCTCGGGCAGGTTCTCTGTGAAGCCATATTTATGACTGAGCTCGTATAGAACTGGATGTTTTATATATTCGCCCTGCAAGCATAGAGTTAGAAAATTGTAAATTAAGATAGAATATGTTTCGATTTGGATTAAAATTCGTTTGACTGTCTGTGAATTCAGTTTGGCGGAACCATTTACCGTGTCTGTGTAAAATACTCCCCCATTGGAAGACTCAAAATTCGAGACGAGACGATTCCACAGTCTCGAGACACTCGCTCGCCGCCTGATCGAAGACTTTTGGGCGCCACTATAGTTGCGTGGCAGTGTATTACATTTGCGCGAGTTGTCATCTCGGCTCGACTTTAAATCCTCATTGGATAGGTTTGGGGACTCGGTTTTGGGCTGCGACACCAACATGCTGCGTATTCTCTTTACCAAACTTGACATTTTCAGAGGGTTTTTTCGTTTTGGGTTTTTCGCTCGAATTTCAATTTGATTACGTTTTGTGTTTCTTTACTTTTCGGGTTGTTTAAGCTTGTGACCAGTTCATGGTAATTAGACAGCTTGTGTCGCGCCTTTTCACACGACTCACGAGAGCTGCGAGTTATCAAGAAAATGTACAAGAGATTGTTAAGAAAGGAGAGGAAATACAACAACAGCAATAACAACGACAAAAAAGAACAAAAAACAAGTTAGTTGTGACGTGGTTCTAGATTGTCATGTCATCGTCGTCGCATTGAAGCGATATAAGAAAGTTAACACAATTGATAAAGAAATTTCTCGTGCTCGTTTCTAAACATTTCCGATCTGGTATCTGTGCAGCAACAATTATAATGCAAATTAAAAGTTCTAATCAATTTGGAATAGCAAACAACTTCTCACTCAACTTTCACGGCGCATTCAATTTGGCTGCTATTCAAGTTTTGCATTGAAAACTTTGCAAAACATTTCAAGTAGTCTCTCGTTCTCACCCAAAGCAATTTGTAGTTGCCAAGAATACGAATTGAAAGTGTGGACAACTTTGCCAGTTTCAATTACAAGTTGCACTGAAAGCAATAATTGGCGACTTTCTAAGCAAAAGCGAGTCGCAGCATCATTTGAAAATTGGAACGTTTGGTCACACTTTTGAAATGCACGAAATGTTATCAATTAGTTAAATCGATAAATCAAAGAGAAAGCTTATCGATAGGATATACAGATAAAAGGATGCTGGTCACACTCTACTTCTAATAAAAGTTTATTATTTATAGTTAAGCAAAATTTGAAGTTCACATCTGTAGATTAAAGCGACAATTTTAAAAAATGTAGTACAAGCCAAATCGAAAAAGTAAGCATATCTTCGGCACGCCGAAGATCTAATACTCTCTCAAACATTTGCCTTTTGTAGATATGCGAGGAATACTGAAGCTTGTAAATGCCGAGCTTGATGAAAATATTTTGAATAACAGAATATTTTTTCATAAAAGAACATTATTTATCGACCGATCTTTCCTATGGCAGTTATATATATGAGAATGATGATGAAGTTAATAAATATCAGCAGCTATTTTTCGACCGATCCTTCCTAAGGCAGCTATATGATATAGTGGTTCGATCCGACCTAAATACTGTTTGCAAACAGAAAGACGAACCTTCGCAAAGTTACAAGAAGAAGGCTTTAAAACTAAGAGATTAGTTAGCATAGTAACAGATAGACGGACATGGCAAGATCTAGAGAATATATATACTTTATGGGGTTAAAGTTGGTTAATTACAACATTATAATACCCTCAACAAAGGTATAAAATTTGTCGAAAGTGTGATTCTCAAACGATTTAAGTGTATTATGATTAACATGGCCAGCTTCACAGCATTTATGGAAAAATGAACTCGAATTTCATGGATATATTGTTTTTTAGAGCATTTGTTGATTTTTGATCACGAAAATGGGATTTACCAAAAATGATTGCATTTAAGAAACATTCTATACATAAACCAACATATATTGTTTAATGCTAAAGGTAAATACTTGTATGTTATACAATAAAGAAACTTGAAGCTAAGCTAACCAAAGCACTTTTATCTGAAATTTGTCGAAATGAAAACTATTTTGTTTATATCATAAAAGCTAGAAGTCAGACAGTTAGCACAACATGGCACCATAAATATGTGCGCACGTCTGTAAAGGCCCGATAAAGAAACTATATATCGCATGACTGCTAAAAAGCATAAATATATACGCACATACACAGGAAACTTAGTTTATAAATTTGTAGCCGTTGTTTACTTTGGTTTTTTTTTTGTTTTTTTTTTTGCTCATAAACTTACAAAGTAAGCGACGGCAATTGTTATTGTTATTATTGTTATTATAATATTATTATCAACTGTAGACAGAGTTCTGTTTGTGGCATATTGAATTCCATGGAATACGTTGACTGCTTTTAAGTCAAAAGCGTCGCGAATTTGCATTAACGAAAGGCAACTGGGAGCTGTTTGTTGTAAAAACTGAACTTGACTCATGCCAATTAGCCCAATAAGGCCGTCGTAGAGCAGCTGACAGTTGGCCATATTTGTTAGCCATGAATATGCATAAGAATTTCTCCAGCTCTCGAACTCCCCGAACCAGCCAAATGTAGAAAGCGAAAATTAACCAAGACAATAGGGGCGGCAAAAGCCCAAAGACTTATTGGACTCTAATTGAATATAACATTGCCATATATTTCGGCTGCACTCATATATAGACTTGATTGATTGTCTGGGCACGTTATAAAAAGAGCAAAACGTGGAAAAAAGTTGCTTCGTAAAAACTCTTATAATTAAAATTTATAAGACGAATGCCAGGGACGGCGTAGACTGCGCAACGTTTTCTTATCGGCATTTGCTGTGGCCGTGCGGCCCTATGATAAGCCTGAAAGCCAAGAAACTAAACACAAATTTTGAAGACAGAACGTTTGTTTATCCACTCGAAATACACACACATACACACACACACACACACGATTACACTTTGAAATATGTAAAAAATGCGCAGGGCTTAGTTGTATCACATGCTTAGCCTGATATTTTATATACAGAGAACATATATTGTTATATTTATATTAATCGTCTTGAAATTTCACAGTTAGAAATCGCGTTGAGACTGCAACTTGTTGCAAACACTTTTTTTATAGCTGCCCGCACGCCGCAACTAACGAACTTGAAATGATGTTCACGTCATTTCCCCTGGTGTAATAAATGTGCCCATCGACCCGAACCAAATGCACACACACACACTCGCACTCACACAAACACTTGCGGCACACCTCGTGGGTGGGCGAAGTCAAACGATTTATTACGAAGTTACTTAACGAAGTGACTCACGAAGCTGGCAACTGGTTTCGGCCTGGTTTTCAGTTGATAACACAAAACGCAGCTGAGTGACCGCATCAACAGACATCGATTGCATTTGGCCGTTACATCGCCTGCTTGGCTATTATCAAAGGGGTAAGTGGTATGTATATCTATGCAATTATCTGGCCATAGCCAATACCTTGAAATGATTGAGCTAACCACTTGAGAGATTATGAAAACACAAATAAAACAAAGCTGCTCTCGTTGGGAGTGGCCGACTAAGAGATACCCTCAAGCCCGCGTCGAGCTGTCTTTACTTATATCCTTGCTCTGCGAAATGCGTTCAATTGTGCTTATTGTTTGATCTTTTCGAAATGTGGCATCCAATTGCATCCAAAAATTCGTTGTTAACAGGCGGAGATATCTCAAGAGTGAAATATTCTGAATATGTGTATAACAAATGTATCTAGCTCTTTTAATGTTCGAGAAAAATTAAAAAAAAGTCTGCGTATTCAGTATACGATACAGGGAAATATATATTGTAAAGGACATTAAGCATATATATACTTTATAGAGTCGCAGATGCTGCCTTCTGCCTGTTACATACATTTGCATCAAAACATAATGCCCTTTTGCATCTATTTCCAATGGATGCAGTGTATCAAAACATCTTGTACTAATGATCTAATTATTGTAGTTTTTGTAACCCAATATTTATAGATGAACTATTTAACAATCTAGATACCAAATATAAATATTATTAGAGTAATGATGCATGGGCCGCCTAATAAATTCCATCAGATGGAAAAATAAACTAGAAAGTTTTTATTTATATCTATGAAAAAAAAAACAGAAAAACAACACTATGCAACAGAATTCAATATTCTGTTCCCGTGCTGATAAAATCGATATTTTTAAAGATTTGGGAATTCCTTTAACGAAATTGGATTATTTTTCGAAGGCAATGTTTTTTTTATATGTACTTTAGGGTATTATAATTTTGTCATAGAAGGACAAAGTATATTTGCTCTAGATGAGTATCAAGTTGATATAGTCATGCCCGTCTGTCCGTTGAATTTTAAAGCTATCGTCTTGAATAGATCTTGCATTTGTCCAGTTTTCTGTTGCAGATATATCATATAGCCTATTTACCATATAGCAGACATAGGGATCGGTCGAAAAGTAGGTTTAGCAAAATGACTACAAGGATATTAAATCTTTGCTGTGTCGAAGATATTCTTACTTTCTCGTTTTCAATTAGATTTGAAAGCGTTAAGTTTGCCACACATATTAAAAAATTACATATATATATATATTATATGGATTACATCAAACGGGGTCACGGGAGCTAAGCTGAAAATGATTATCTAAGATTTTGTGGCGCATACAAAAAACGAACTAGCAAAAACCCTAATATATTGTAAAGTATTACTAATAATTAGTTTACTTTATTTGAACAATGTCTAAATTACATCTATTTAGTTCAAGTTGCGGCTCAAAATAATGAAAATGCGATTTTTTCTTCCCTAAGTGAACTTTAACTAATTGAGACAGTCATTTGTTAGATATATATCTTAGCGCTCATAACTTCATTAGGCTGACAATGGCAAGCTTCGCTTTAATTTGTCTCTTTTTGCATTCGATTGCAAACACAAATCATAAAAAGGCTCCTGGGAAATGTTTTACGAGCTTGTATGTGAAATTATAGCGGCTCGTTTGCGGCGTCGACACGGCGCATTCTTTATAAAAACATCTTGATGATAATGGGGCCCGCCGGGAATTGC